CAGTCTTCCATGTTCTTATTTTGTGTCTTGGAACTGAATCGGTTTCCAGTGTGAATTATAAACAGTAGGACCACAGATACTACAGTGATGCATAAATTACTGAGGTGTAATGACGTTTTTCATAAAACCTTCGCTGAATATGAATCAAAAGTCAACAATTACTTAGAAAATAATTTATATTTCTATATGACTTTATCCATCTAAAGTATTCATAGTCTCTTGTCTCAAAATGCTTCTCAATCATATGAAATCAAGTAATACATAATTGAACACATTCCCCATTTAAAAATAAACTTTTAGAATAATGGATATTTAGAACTGCAGCTAATGACCTTATATTGCCTGAAGTCACAAGCGTTATAAGCAAAGATGGATGGTGGCTAGCAGTGGAATCCAGGACGCACGTTCCTTCCAATGGGATAATTCAAACAACCAATGCAAAATGAATTAAAATTTCACCCCATTGCACAAGCAACTGGCTATCTGGATTCAGTAGTTAAGTGGATAACACAGTGGCATTTGGAGCGAACAGTACTGGGTTTGGGTTCCGGAGTGAACATCAACTCTGGGATGCAGGTACATCCAGCTGATGGGTCCCAAATAGGACGAAATGCCCGTCATAGACTCAAATGCTAGCCACCATCCATCTTCACTTATACTGCTTGTGACTTCAGGCAATATCGAAGTGATCCTCACAGGATGCACATAGGCCAATAAGAGACTAATCAATTGCAGTCCTAAACATCAATAGGAAGATTCAAATAGCCAATACAAAATGAATTAAAACTTTTAGAACTTTAGTTTCTTGATGAACATATAATCCTATTAGAGTAATCATTGGAAAAGAAGTTTAATCAAACAAAATATAATGTCAAAATTTACTTAGTAAACCAGAAGTATTATTCATGTTGTCACTAATAGTTCATGCCATATTGTTATTCGAATGAATTTGTAATGTTGTGGCCCTACTGTGTACTGATGAATTAACATTGAATAGTAAGATATCTTATAGCTCTAGCCTTTTATTTCTATTCCAGATAAATTCGACATATGTCTAAGTTGGAGTAACACAGGAATTGGATATAACAACTGTTAATCAATGATCTTTCATTTAGAACATTATTCATCTTTGATATCGATCAATTTTATAGTATATCTTCAGCGAAACCATTAAATCTTAGATGTTTAGATGACAAGGTTGATGAATGACCTATTTCGGTTCTACATCAATATGTGATGTATGTACCTAGAATAAAGCAACTAACAACTACTATTATTCTCATTGTTTTTTACTATTTTTAGAGTAAATACATAAAAAGAGTCCAGCCTTCCACACCCTCCTCTCTCTCTCTTTAAACCAAACTCACAAATTATAATGTATGTAAACTAGAGCAAATCAGTTGAAGTATCATAATTTTGGCGATGCAGAACTGAAATATTGATAATGAACAAATCTTTTGTCAATTAAGTATGATTTTAGATTTCTAAATTATTTACTTTATTTTTATATAAATCACATGGTAGAATGCTGTTAGTCAGTCAGTCAGTCAGTCAGTTACAACGTAGAACCAGGCACATATATGCATCGGTCCAGGTTGCCATACCTCAACAGCACAACAAGATGAACACCGAATTCAGAGTAGTTAATTCATTGCCTCCAAATGCCCTGGTACGGCCGAGAGTGGGAAGAGTCCGCTCTCCCTCCCGAAATACTCTCACACAGCCACGCGTATACATCCTCTGCCAGGGAAGTCCTACTCACTGCCTTCTCGTGGCGGGGGTGTTGTTTACGAAAATGAGAGGACGAAAAGCGAATGTCTGGCGCTTTAACCGGATTCCAAACCCATGATGCACATGGGCTCCAGTATCCTGAGGGAACAAATGGCGTATGAACCAATTGTTGGTCACCGGCTTCCATGAGACTGCATCTCCTTACGATGCTCCACTGCCTTGTGGATCAGACCCTCAGGTCGAAGGCTCGGGGTGTGGCCCCCTAAGAAAACCACCTGCTTCGGTTTGGGCATCCGGGCAGTATCACACCCCTCACACATATTGAATGATATTTGTCTGGCGCATATGTGTTGAAATAAATAAAAAAGTTAATTCATTAGTAGTAATATATAAAGGAAGGATTGCATATAAGGATGTAGTACAGGAAGAAAGAAAGCTATAAAGCAATTTTATTCTCACAGTTTAAGGGAAGAGAGAGAGAGTGTATACACTTAAACCATTGTGTTTGATTGGAAAGAAAATTTGAATCTAGGTTTAGTCATTGTCACAATATCTCAGGAATGATGTATCAAGTTCGACACTGTTTGACTCGTTTTTCTTCTCAAAGGAGCATTATTTCAGGGAGCATGAAACTAAGGTCGAGTGTTCTAAGAAGATTGTATTCAACTATTTCAAAGTGCATAATAATGTACAGATAACTAACCTACTGAAAAAGTATTATGATGTATCGAAATTTGAATGAACTTGATTTTGATACTATTATCAAGACATAAAATTAGTTGATCATATAAGGCCAGTGAAATATCACTGAGCCACAGTGATATCATCCAACAGTTGGATTACTGAATACCGAACAGTTCATCGGTCCCCGTCAAGGCCAAGGACAACCAACGCACATCAGTTAATCGTATGCCATGGACTAGCCCATGCAGTGATGGTCTCACTATCTTCTCTGTATTCGTTCTTAATCATATATTACCGTAATAACGTCGTCTATGTTTTACTGTCTTCAAAGCAGCCATAGTACCTTCATACATCGGAAGGATAATTCACGTTAAGCTCTGACCATTAGGATGTGACTTCAAAATTAGTTTTCCGCCACACCATTCCTGTCTAATTCAAGTAGCTCCCCCCCAATCATTCAACATAGATCATCTATGTTAGTGATCTACATTCATTTTATTGTTAATACCCCATAGATAAATACCAGTAACCTAACAAACGACACTAACAAAATGTATTTAGATTGTACTACATGAACTAATTACCATCTTACACATTGAATACCAATAACTTACTGATTAATTAATTAATTAATTAATCACTATGGTTATTTTACAAGATAAAGACCATGTTACAAATCTGTCATAGAGATCATTTCTTTTTGTTTTGGCATAATTATTCAAATACAAAAATGCAAACGCCCTAAATTATCTGACTCATTTGAGTAATTAAATAAAAGGTATAAAAAACACAACTGTGGTATCCGATTTCTAGAGGAAAAACTTTTATTACATTGTGTTTTATTACTCCTTTCAATTACAAACAAAAAACCCGCATATTTTGACATGGATATCATCAGTCTTATGAGCATTTAGAACAAAAGTTTTCTTTTTTTTTAATTTTCAGTATAGAGTTGTGGAGATTTTTAAGTTTTTGATCATCATTGAAAACCTGGAAACGCTGGACGGCCGTTTCGTCCTATTGTGGTTGAGGTTAGAAATTAACACCACTGAATGCCGGCCGGATCAATGGTCTAGAGGTTCAGCGTTCTCGCGCTAGAGACTGAAGGCCCTGAATTTGAATATCGTGAGGCGGGATTGGGGATGTGCACTGCTAAGGAATCCCATAATAGGACGAAACAATCGTCCAGTGCTTTCAGGTTTTCAATGGTGGTCTGACATCAATAGGTTCATGATCTTAATCGAAAAAAATCAGTTGGTGAATGTAGTTAATCAGATCATTGATGTTCACACCGGGACTCTATAAAATAAACTTGTAACAAATATGAGTGTATCTGGTTAATCGGCACAGAATGTACATATATCAGCTAAGACTGATCAAAAGTTTGTTAGGAAAGAAAACTTTTAATTACATATGAAGTTTCATTCAATCAAGTTTACATTGTGCTGTATGCTATGCTTTAAGTTTCTGAACCACGAATATGTTGTATTATCAATTGAACTGGAGTTATAGCAAATATTTGTTTACTATAAATGTGTTCATTTACTTCTTGACCTCATTGTGTCATCTGTACTTTTACGAAACCTAATCGTTGTGTAATTGTGTCATAACAATGTGTCATGCCATTTATAGCTGGGTAGATGAAAAACGATTCAAATTGAATACTTTAAGAAGTAAGCTATCTCATTATAGATAAATACCAAAAAAATATATTCTTACCAAATATATTACCTCTGCCTAAAGCCCCTCTGAGGCTACTGCCGGTCCCAAACCCGGATAAAGGAAGAGGGTTTGGCACGGGGTTAGCGACTCTATCTCGTGGAAAACTAACTTGCTAAAAAACGCTAACTAGAAAACAAAAGTTCAAACCATTTAAACTCTGCCCTGGGAGTTAGAACGTCTTCATTTATAAGAGTTATGACACTTCATGGTGAAAACCGAGTTCCTTCGGAAGTCACGAGACTGATGCCTCTTCTGACAACTAGAGTAACCATTAATTTAGGTACATGGAATGCTTGCACAATGTGGGAGACCGGAAGAGTCATCCAAATTGCTACGCTAAACATATTACATCATACATTAAGATATTACTGAATGATTGGGAAAAGTTTATTTTCATCGTCATTAAGATGGTGATTGAATGTAGTCAACAGGAAACCCTGAACCTTGGTTTCATGCCACTTGGCCCTCATCAGCAAGGTGTACCTGTAATCATGAGAGAAGTGATGTTACCTGACGGACTGACTCTCGTGTCACCCAGCTTCACAGTCAGAGACGTTACCACTGAGCTAGCTGGGCTACGACTGAACTTCTGGAGGACTGAGATGTATTTACAATTCGGTGATCACTGGGTGATGATCAATGTCATGTATGTCAGGTCCTTCGTGGTGCAAGATTACACATACACCTTGTTGACAAGTGCCAAGTAGCACGAAACTTAGATTCAGGGTTTCCTGTTGACTATCTCCAACCACCATCTTATCTCAGCATAGTGTACGCAATGTCATCATCATTGTATTCAAAGTTATCATTGTTGCTAAAAAGTACAATATTCTACAATAATCAATAAATATTTATCCACTTACCAATTAGAAATGAATATTGTTGTAAAGATTTGACAAAAACTTGAATAAAAACGAATAATCCATATACAATATAATAAATATACAGGTAAAAATCCATATTGAATCCAACCGATTTGTCGAAAATCCAAACATCCAGTAAATTTTAATCGAATTGGTTCAACTAAGAAAATGAGTAAAGAATAATAATAATATACCATTTTGTTTTTCTGTACAAAATGTCAAATTTTCTTCAGTATAGTGTTATGGAGATTATTCAATTGTTTTTTTATTGAGATCATGAATGGAGTGATGTTAGACCAACATTGAAAACCTGGAAGCACTGTACAGACGTTTCGTTCCATTGTGGAACTCTTCAGCAGTGTATATCCACAATCCCGCTCACGGGATTCAAACTCAGGACCTATCAATTTCGTGTGCGAATGCTTAACCTCTAAACCATTTAGCCGGTAGAGCAATTTCGTGGGTTGGTTGAGGTTAGACATTGACACCGTCGGATGCCGGCTCAGTATTCTAGAGAGGAAGGTTATGCGCTTGCGGGGTTGATAGATCCACGGTTCGAATCTCGCGCGGTGGGATCGTAGATGCGCATTGTTGGGGAGTCCCACACTAGGATGAAACGGGCTTCCAGGTTTTCCATAGTGGTCTAACATCAATCGCTTCATGATTTTAATCAAATTGTTTTGTTGTCAAGGTAAAACTCGTAATTTTTAGCACGAATTAGATGTATAACTCATTTAATGTGTTTCAATAGGTTTCGCGCTTGCAGCATACAAAAATCATCAGATGGTGAACTAAACTAAACCAGTTAAATAAACATTTTAAAAGTCAAAATTTAATCTAATCAACATAAGAGTTTCGAACATTGTATGCTCAAAAAAAGCTTGAATAGTAACATCACAACAAGTGTGTGTAGATACATACAGATGGAAATCTCCATCAAAAACAGCGTACTGTGGAAGAGAACAAACTAGCTCCCAGCTAAAGAGGAAATCAAGACGTTTGAAGTGGATAGGACATGCATTACAGAAATCAACAAACTGCTTCACGAGGATCCCGATGGAAAACGGAAAAGAGGAAGGCCAAAGAACACTTTGTTGGGAATTAGAAACAGACATGAAAAGGATGAATAGCAACTGGAAAGAAATGGAAAGGATTGTCCAGGACAGGGTTGGATATAGAATGCTGGTGGGTGGCTAATGCTTCTCCACGAGGAGTAACAGGTGTAAGTAAAGTGAAGCAATTTCCCAATGAATAATAATGTACGTTTTATGTAACAACGCCTATATATATAAGTGTAATGAACAAAACATTTCCCTTAATATAAGACATATTACATTTGAAAGATCATCTACTATCAAGGAATATCATATTGACTGCTGATTATCAGCATTCAATTAGTCCAGGTTGTCTGACCCAAAACCGACACTACACATCACTATCATTATTGATATCGGACAAACAAATACTCAAAGTTAAGAAAACAAACAATTCACTTGGTATTGTTTGCTTGAATTTTCCCATTGATGTTTAGGACTGCGATTGATCAGTCTCTTATTGGCATATGTGCATACTGTGTGTCTTGCCTTGATATGGCCTGATCAACTGCAGTCCTGAACATCAATGTGAACATTCAAATAAAACAATACCAAGTGAATTAAATTTCACCCCATTGCACAAGCAAGTGGCTATCAGGATAACGTGGTGGTGTTTGAAGCGATCGATACTGGATCCGAGTCCCAAAGTGAACATCAACTCTGGGATGCAGGTACATCCAGCTGACGAGTCCCAAATAGGAAGATTCCACTGCTATCCACTATCCATCTTTGATTTCACCAGGTATTCTGTTAATTTCTCTTAAATAACCTATATATATATATACAAAACTCTTTACATATAGACTATCGATCAAAGAAAGGTGAATTGCTCAAAAGATAAATGTCATTGCAGAATTAGAATTATATCTTTTAACAATATTTCCATTATTACTCTTTGTGATAGTCTTACAATATTGTATAATATAATTCAATTAAGTTACTTTGATCCAAATTTGTTGAAATGATTCAACTGAATACGAACTTCTACTTGTCGTTCATTTTTAGTCAAGTATACAATAAATAAAGTCAATATATTAAAGATTATTCAACTCTAAATATATTAGAGTATTGTAAGTATAAGACAACAAACTTGATGTGATGATAACATGACATGTAAATTACTTTGATCCAATGTATCCAATGCTGATGAATGGCGTCAATATTTTTTAAATGTTACAGTTAATCATCACATAATCTCATGTCAATGTTTAAAGTTTACAATAATCAGTATGCTGCTAATAAAATCTAGTCATATATATTTACTGATTGAAATCATGAGTCAATTGAAGCTAGACCACCATGTAAAACCTGGTTAAGCGCCTGGCGCGAGACTGATAGGTCTTGGGTTCGAATCTCGCGGGGGGCGGGATGGTGGATGCACACTGATGAGGAGTCCCATACTAGGACGAAACGGCCGTCCAGTGCTTCCAGGTTTTCTATGGTGGTCTAACTTCAATTGACTCATGATTTCAATCTGTGAAATTTCTAAAATCTCCACAAAACCACTTTTGATATATATTTACTGTAAAAAATGACAACTTGAGCCAATTCAGAGCGGAGAGCAGCAATCCAATCACTCTTGGTGGCAAAACTCTGGAAGAAGTAGAGTCTTTCACATACCTAGGAAGTATCATCGATGAACAAGGAGGTTCAGATGCAGACGTAAAGGCGAGGATTGGCAAAGCAATGGTCGCATTCCTACAATTGAAGAACATATGGAACTCAAAACAACTTTTAATCAATATCAAAGTCAGAATCTTCAATACGAACGTCAAGGCAGTTCTACTGTACGGAGCTGAAACTTGGAGAACTACAACAACCATCATCAAGAAGGTACAAGTATTTATCAATAGTTGTCTACGAAAGATATTCAACATCCATTGACCGGATACCATCAGCAATAGCCTTCTGTGGGAGAGAACAAACCAACTTCCAGCTGAAGAAGAAATTAGGAAAAGACGATGGAAATGGATAGGACATATAGTACACAAATCATCAAACTGCATCACGAGACAAACCCTAACTTGGAATCCTGAAGGAAGGCGGAAAGGAGGAAGGCCAAGGAACACACTACATTGGATAATAGAAGCAGATATGAAAAGGATGAATAATAACTGGAAGGAGCTGGAAAGGACTGTACAGAACAGGGTTGGATGGAGAATGCTGGTGGTTGGCCTATGCTCCTTCACGAGGAGTAACAGGCGTAAGTAAGTAAGTAAGTAAGTAAGTAAGTAAGTAAGTAAGTAAGTAAGTAAGTAAGTAAGTAAGTAAGTAAGTAAGTAAGTAAGTAAAAAAATGCCTGAACTCTAGTAAACTGCCATTTTACAAGAAGAATTCCAAGTAGCATTTACATATAATATGTATTAGTGAAGTTAGATTTAACTAAGAAGTATTCTGTAATGCTTAGTTCCTGTCAAACAGATAGTAAATTGAGATAATCTTCAGGATAAACTAAGACTATTTAAAGAACTATAAAACATAAGTGTAAAAATTATTAAAAGTATGTTTTGTCCTATTTTTGAACAACTTATTACTGTACACCTATCGCCCTACAGAAGATTCAAACGACAATATCATATGTGTATCTAACAATCAATAAAACACTTTATGAAATGAAAATTATAAGATAAATATTAGAAACGGTTTTGTGGATATTTTAGTAATTTTAACAGTTTAAATCATGAGTTAATTCAGGTTAGACCACCATGAAAAACCTGGAAGCAGTTCACGGCCAACTCGCTCTACTGTGTGACTCCTCAGCAGTGCACACCCACGATCCCGCCCGCGGGATTTGAGCCCAGGACCTTTCGCTTCATGCGCGTGAACTCTTAACCACTAGGCCACTGAGCTAGCAGGCATCCAACAGTGTTAATGTCTAACTTCAACTAATGCATGAAACTGAGCGACACATCCACGACTGTCTTCTGTGACTAACTATCTCACAGCAGACGAGATTGAACTCCAACTGGTAACTGTTTCTAATAAATAACTACCCTGCATTAAAAATGGGTATACGAATAGATAACGTTGATAAAGTTACTTATAATAGAAAATATTAATCATAAAGTTGAATCTTAAAACTTCAATCTTTCCTTTGAACCATGTTAAATTATATCTGATATATTAATTCTTTAGATATTATACTACTTTTTTTCTTTGGTTTAGTTAGTAGTATGTAAATTCTTTCAGAAATTCATATTCAGTAGATTTTTCTTATTGATTTAGAAGCTGACGCCATTGTTTCAATGATTTTTCTACATCAAATCGTTCAAAAAACTTTCGTTGTTAAGACAATACCATATAAGTATTCATAAATAATATGTCAATCAAAAGAAAACATTAAATATGTCATTGAAATCTATGTCATTTCAGTTAGTTTATATTAGATTCTGATAAAATCCAAGACATATATCGTTGATTTAAAACTGGAAAAGAAAAAGTAGATAATGGTGGTGCATTTTAAAATAAGGAATATTTTCTGTCGATCAGTTAGTCGTAGTTTTCTTCTGATTAGAGTTTTTTTTAGCGAGTTAGTTTTCTACAAGATTCAGACAAGTCTGTCTACTCTCCCCCACTTCTTCTTTCTTCTGGTGGTTGACTGGATTAGGAAGACCTCGACATCTGAGGAAAAACATAGAATACAATGAACAACTCAGAACCAATTAGACGAATAAGACTTCGCAGATAACCTAGCCCTCCTAAATCATACACAAGAACAAATGCAAATGAAGACAACTAGTGTAGCAGCAGTCTCTGCATCAGTAGGCCTCAAAATACACAAACATAAAAACAAGATTCCCAAATGCAACACGGAGAACATCAACCCAATCACGCTTGATGGCGAAACTCTGGAAGATATGGAATGCTTCAGGTACTTGGGAAGCATCATCGATGAACAAGGAGGATCATATGCAGATGTAATGGCAAGGGTTGAAGAAGCAATCAACGCTTTCTTACAATTCAATAACATATAGATCTCAAAACAACAATCTATCAACTAACATCTAAGTCACAATCTTCAATACGAACGTCAACACAGTTCTACTATACGGAGATGAAACTCCGTATGAACTACTACAACCATCATCAAAACAATACAAGTATTCATAAATTATTGTCTACACACGATACTCAACATCCATTCTCCAAATACCATCAGCAACAGCCTACTGTGGAAGAGAACAAATCAGATTCCATATGAATAGGAAATTAGGAAAGACTATGGAAATGGATAGGACATACAATACGCAAATCATCAAACTACATCACGAAGCAATCCCTAACATGGAATGCTGAAGGGAAGCAAACAATTGGAAGGTCAAAGAACACATTACGTTGAGAAATAGAAACAGTTATGAAAAGAATGAATAACAACTGAAAATAACTGGAAAGGCTTGTTTGGGACAGGTTTGGATGGAGAATGCTGGTGGTTGGCCTATACGAGGAAGAACAGGCATAAGTATGTAAGTAAGTTATTCATAATGATCATAGAGCATGGTACAGATCTACACGTACTTAGATTATCGTACCATTTAAACACAACATGATGAAATGAATACATTGAATAGTGAAGGAATCAAAATAATATGATAATAATCACAATGAGAAAGTCTAACCATCAATAGGAATATGGTTCTAAAAGACAGAAAAAGAAAGATGTATGGAGAAACATGGGAACTCAAAACAACCGGAAAGATAAAAACTAAATGTATCTGCGCCACTATGATCGATCCTAAGTCATGTCCCACAATGACTTCAATCACTGATCATGGAAACAATCATAATAGATAAAACATACCTAATACTGATATAAATTAAGTAGTATGAAAGATTACAGTTTTCTTCAACTGATTTCTATTCATTTTATAGCTATCATAATATAATTAGTCGTACAGGAAATACATCTACGTAACACAGATTGTAATGTAAATTCACACTTGTCTTATATCTTATAATAAATTGCATGTATGTGTGTATGTATGACTTATGTATGTATGTATGTATGTTTGTATGTATGTATGTGTGAAGTAACTTGAGGTAAATCACCATGGTAGTGATAAACAAATAGACTATATCTATTTAACTTTATCTTATAAAATACAAGAACTACTGTTGAATATGAAGAAAGATAAACTTGGATTAATAGTAGACTACAAAACCAATACAAATATAACAATGTACATAAGTAAATTTATTTGAAAGTAGTAGACTAAACATGTAACTTGTTTAGACTGTTATTCAACTTAAGATCAATGTGATCAATGTGAAGTATTAGGAATACATTTCATATTGGTGGTTGAGAAGATTTGTAACTCAGGTGGATGAAAGCTGCATGACCAAACTATCCAACTTAGAGAACAAAACTAAACCAAAAACATTTCATACTGGTTGATGGTTATCTATTAAACACTTAATAGTAAAGTAGGGTCACAGATTGTAACAATGATAGGTGTGGCTTAGAATTTATTTAAAATTATTATTGTGCTCAGATATGTCAATAAATCTTAGTTATAAATGCCTACCACGACAAGACCCAGATGTACGATTTCCTGAATCTAACTACCTTTTATATTTGACTTAGAATATGCTGATGACATAGTGCTATTTGGTGAAGACGCTGACAAAATGCAGAGTCTTCTGACCACTATAAGCAACAATGCAAGCATGTTCGAGTTGCGATTCTCTCCCTCAAAATGCAAAATGTTGCTTCAGGATTGGGTTGCGACGACACCTGAACTAATGATAGGGAGTGAAGTAGTTGAGTGTGTCGACCGTTTCACTTATCTTGGAAGTCTCATCAGCCCTTGTGGTTTGGTGTGTGACGAAATCTCAGCACGGATACAGAAGGCTCAACTAGCTTTTGCCAACTTGCGCCATTTATGGCGTAGGCGAGATATTCGTCTACCAACCAAAGGACGTGTTTACTGCGCAGCAGTTAGTTCCGTCCTACTTTATGGCAGTGAAACATGGCCGGTAAGAGTAGAGGATATTCGTAGGTTGCTAGTATTCGATCATAGGTGTCTTCGAAACATTGCTCGTATATCATGGGACCATCGAGTAAGTAACACAGTTGTTAGGAAACGGGTACTAAGTAAGCATGGCAAATCAATTGATGAAGTAGTGAAACTTCTTCAGTTGAGATAGCTGGGACATGTGTTACGTATGCCCAACCACCGACTACGTCGACGAGCGATGTTCAATGGTATAGGAGTAGGTTGGAAGAAAGCTAGGGGCGGCCAGACTAAAACATGGCACAAATCCATGAAGTCACTGACAAGTGGACTGAGCCATGTTGGTAGGTGTAGACTACCTGGTTGGGGACCGCGAGATGATAGCAACCGATGGTTAGAGATGTTGAATAACATCGATCAAAATCGTTTGCAATGGTGCAGGTGCATCCACTCTTTGTGTTCTCCGAAATTCTAATCTTTTGACTTCTTCATGTCCTGTTCTTTCTTCTCTTTCCAAATGAATTTCACTGGATTATACTCCTTGAATAATATCTTGAAACCCTAATCTTTCCGATTAGCAGTTAATCAATTATATGTGTCACTTATTGATAGATTTTACAGATTATTCGCAAATTCAATCACGATAGAATAACAATACTGTTACTATAAATGTTACCATTGAACAATTTTTGAATATCAACCTTATTGTAAACTTTCAAAAAGTAATATATCACACTTTAGATTAGATATACATCTATCAATTTAAACACTTGTATCCTTAAAGATAATTTGAATGATGGCTACGTAACTAACTACTCATAACTAACATCTGTTACTACTCAGTGATCGATTAATGGATATCTCTCAATCCTAAAATAGGACGATGGTTGCCTAAAGGGCTCAAGCATAACATGATATAGGATAATTAGATTTTGATGGAGTTTTGTTCTCTGAGCTGGATGGTTTGGTCGCGGAGCCTCCATCGTTCTTCTGAACGACATCATCAGCACAAACTTCAGATAGAAGTGAAGTGTTCGAATTTCTCCATATGCGTTTCACAGCTTGCTCGGTACACCTCGACGTTGATTGATTCTCATGAGAACCAAGAATCGGAAGTTTGTGCTGACGATGTCGTTCAGAAGAACGATGAAAGCTCCACAACCAAACCATCCAACTCAGAGAACAAAACTCCATCAAAATTATCCAACTGAGCTACAAATCTTCTCCACCATCTCATAATTAGATTATAAAGAGTGGTGGTGGCGGGGCATCAGTCATCTTAAGAATATAGATACACCCTTCTGAAAAGTACCTATATACACACACAAAAATCTGTGTCAAACTAGGCTCTTCCATCACTTTATCAAGAAATAATTTAATAATACCACATGTTAATATAATAAAACTTACCCATAGCAAATATATGTAACAAACTATATACAGATAGAAAGCATAATAAACTATTCCCTATCATTATTATGATTAACATAATGATTATGAATCCATATAATTCAGTTAAACAATCTGATAATAATACAAATAATGCTTCAACAATAAATTGTATTGTACTTTGCCATTGACTTGTTGAGTTTCTCAATGATGAATTTAAACAAATGATGCATATCTAATAGATGGAAATTATGGTGAAGGAAAAAAACAAAAACAAGAACAATGAAAAGGTGGATACATTAAAAATGCATAGCAACAAATAAAATAACTTTTTTTTCTAGTTGAAATATTTAGGTTGGAACTAGTTTGTTTGTCGTTTGAGATCTTAATACTAATAGTATACAGTGAATAGAGTTGAATATTATCTCTTGTTCTTGAAATATTCATCACCAACTTACTTACGGCTGTTATTCCTCGTAGAGGAGAATAGGCCAACCATAAGCACTCTACATCCAAACCTGTCTCAAACAAGCCTTTCCAGTTATTTTCAGTTGTTATTCATTCGTTTCATGACTGTTTCTATTTCTCAACGTAATGTATTCTTTGACCTTCCACGATTTTGCTTCTCTTCAGCACTCCATGTTAGGGATTGCTTCGTGATGTAGTTTGATGATTTGCGTAATGTATGTCCTATCCAATTCCATAGTCTTTCCTAATTTCCTATTCTGATTTGTTGCTGATGGTATCCGGAGAATGGATGTTGAGTATCGTGTGTAGACAAATATTTATAAATACTTGTATTGTTTTGATGATGGTTGTAGTAGTTCATAGAGTTTCATCTTTGTGTATTGGACCTGTGTTGACGTTCGTATTGAAGATTGTGACTTTGATGTTAGTTGATAGATTGCTGTTTTGAGATTTATATGTTGTTGAATTGTAGGAATGCGTTCATAGCTTCGTCAATCGTCGCATTTATATCTGCAGGTGATCCTTCTTGTTCAGACATAATGATTCATCATCAAACTAGTATACAAATGTGCTAGTACACCTGAGGGTGATGAGAGCTCGCTATCACTCTTGAAGTGTTTCTTACATGGTCACGTGTATGCAGTCACTGCCAGGAAATTTTTTACTCAATGTCTTCTTGCAGCAAGAGTGTTTTTTACGAAATCGAGAGGACGAGATGTGAATATCCGGTGCTTTAATAAAGTCTGTGGATATGGAGGGCTCAAAGAAGTTGAAAAATCCTGATTCCAAACCAATGGTGCATATAGGCTCCAGGATCCTGAGGAAACGAATGACTAGTCTTGTGGATTAGACCTTTAGGTCAAAGACTCAGGGAGTAACTCCTTAAGAAAACCATCTGCCTCGGTCTGGGCGTCCGTGCACTGTTTCAGACCTCACACAAATTGAATGAGGAAGTGTGTCGCAAATATATTTTATACTCCCTTGTACCAATGTTTTGTATATTTAAATAAATAAATAAATGTACTTGGTTATTAAATTATAAAATAAGGATGAAGATTCATAGTTCATGTGGATGATTTTTATTATTTTATGTATTCTGAGTTCAGTGGTTTTATCCATTCTTCAAAAGAATTGAAAATTGTGAGACTTATGTTCGATAAATAAAATGATGACATTAAGGTATAGTTATTAGATTCAAAAACATGAACTAGTGGAGTGTGGTATGCTGAATAATGTAATAGATTTAGCCAAGTAACCTTTAATGTTAGAATTTCACTGTTCTACAGGACAATCAAGTTTTATATAACTTCTAATACATCTTAGCATTAAATATCAACCAATATAATAGTTTGGGTGGTTTTCAACTACATTTTTGAGATGGTGGGGAAAAAGTGGCTGCTCTCCATGTCTGTGTCTACATAAACATCAGCTAGGGATTAAACTTCATCAATGCATGCGGAAAATTAAGAAAATAATTTCGAATGGGAAAACATCAAAACAATAGACAGAGGAAACACAAAGAAACAGGGTATTCTTAAAAGCATAATACTCTGGTAACTAATCGGCCAATAGACATTTCGAAAATGACTTAATATATCAACCAATAAAGGAAAGGATAAATATCTCCAAGATCAGATATTAGATCAGAGGTAAAAACAATCAACACAAATATGTAAACAACAGCCACACATCGATGGACAACAACCAACCAAATTCTAGGTCAACAGAATAAGAAACCGGTCAATTGTTGAGTAATTCTAGATAACTCACTTCTTGTCGAAGTGTATTCTGATGATGCTGTTGAGAAAGACTATGAAAGCTTCACGATTAGACACTCCAGTTCAAAGGACATAGCATCTCCAGTAATCTACAGTTTACCGTTATAAACTATGATATATGCATATTTCACTAATTTAAGACATTAAGGGGGAAATTATACTTGTAGAAATCCTAGATGTTGAACTTAAAATAAGTTCAGCGTTTCAATCGGCAGTTTGATCCAAGTGTTTTCAAGGTATTATGATCAAAGTAACTATACGATAATTTCGTTTACTAACTCAAGGTCCAATTCTTGTCAAACTATTCGTCTAAAAGTTATCAAAAGTATTTAAAAAATAATTGGATATAAGAACTCTTAAAGATTGGTTACATTTTGATTTGTAACTTTTCTAACAATAAATTTCGCTTAAGATTGCTTACTTACATACATATGCCTGTTACCCCCAATGAAGCATGATTGTGTAGTAAATACATCTCAATTCAAGTTACCCAATATAAACTTCCTAATCATACTTCATTTTTTTAATTCAATCGTTGATAGACTTCACATATAGGAAACATATATCAGTATCAGACTCTGAAAACTGTTTAGTAAAACAGAAAGTCAGGTGAGTAATCAGTCAGTTCAAAATCGTACACAAAATGTATCTTGAATTTCACTGTTACGTATTATAGATAAATACGAAAATCAGATAAATATAGACAACTCTGAGGTATCCATCTCCTCATAGACACCATTTATAAATGTCAAACATGAAGAAAATTACTACAATCTGTTATGTAAAACAAATCACTGAAGTGTATTATAAATATAAATGAGTATATATATATATATATGTAACTCTGCATGTAGCTCTTCTCGAGTTACTGCCGGTCCCAAGCCCGGCCACAAAGAAGGACGGTTGGGCATAAGGTTAGCGACCCCAACCCGTAGAAAACTAACTCACCAAAAAAAAGCGCTAACCAGAAACAAAATATGTATATTAATATAACTTACTAAAATAAATAAACAAATGCATAGGATAATTGTAAATGTTACATGACTTAATAAATGACTTTGATTGAATACATCATTCTTCCACCAATATGCATATTTCAAACTCATAATATGAATCCATAGACGAACAATTAAAAAAATCATCAGTACTAATATCACATAGCAACAATTTGTCATAATTGAATGTTGATTAGAAACAAAAAAAAGAGGAAAAAAAGAGAAACAACATTATGATAAATAATTTTTTATTGATTTTATGTTGTGATTAAATTGCAAATTGAGATTTTAATAGAAAATAAACAACATTTGAAAGTAAATTGAAATTTCTGCTTTAATAATGTGGCGAGTCTCTAATTTATGGGTGAGCCAATCAGAAGCGTTTTAGAGATTTCAAGGTTACGGCGCCAACTTCAATGCCTAATGCTAACGTACGATCGGTTCACAGGGAATTTTGTACAAAACGTGATAATTGAGCGGCTATAACAAATAAAACGGCGGGACTATAATTTGTGAACGAATCAATCAGGCATAAGATAATAGATCTCGGATTTTAATGCGAAAACCTTTCATCCATTTGGCTAAATAAATTTCTGACATTATAGTTGATGTCAGTTCGTGATGAAAACCCCATATATAATTTCTAACTAAGGCAATTTACGACAATTATTGCGAACTAGATAATAATACCTGTCTGCAGCCAGGTACTACAATATATACGGATGTTTGGAGAGCGTACAGGCTCCTACATAGGCTTGGTTATGTGCATCGTGTTGTTATCCACAAGTGGCATTTTATGTACTCAACAACCGGAGTGCATACAAACAATATTGAAGCTATATGGTTGAGGCTGAAAGAATTTTTGCAACCTTATCATGGCGCCAGAGGCCGACTATTCTGTAGCCGTATGGATGATTTCCTCTACTGCATGCATTATGATTTTAGAACCTCTGAAACTTTTTCTAACCTTGACACGTTTTTGAACCACCTATAAGAAGTGTATCCACTTTATTTCTTTGGTTTTTCATAACATATTTTTACTCTATGCTGACTGTTTGCTGATTGGCTAATATGCTCAAGGTCACTTAAGCTTCGTTCAAAGGTCGTCTATAAATTAGTCTCACCAATAGTGTTTATTGATTGCTTAGATTATGTAACTGGTGATTAGGATTAATATTGATTAGTCTATTTTGATAATATGTGCATTCTATACTATTTGCCTTGATATTATTATTAAATCAAAAAGTATTCTTAAGCAGATATGAATAATGGCTAAGAGGGAATATTCAGCTGACAAATCTTTAGTAAGATGAAATGAACACCTTGAATTCCACTGTTAACCAACATCTATCTCTGTTTAAAAATATTGATTTCTGTAAGATCTTAATCAGGCTTCATTCGCATAAACAGTAATACTTTTATGTATATATGAAAATTATTTTTTATGCTTAACGTTTTTTAGCGAGTTAGTTTTCTACGGAATGGGGTCGTTAACCCCATGCCCAACCCTCCTCTTTTACCCGGGCGTGAGACCGGTAGAAACTCTAGAAGAGCTACAGGCGGAAATGGGAAACAGGAAGGCCAAATAACACATTACGTCGGGAAATAGAAGTAGATATGAAAAGGATGAATAACAACTGGAAGGAGCTAGAAAGGATTGCCCAGAACAGGGTTGGATGGCGAATGCTGGTGAGCGGCCTATGCTCCTTCACGAGGAGTAACAGGCGTAAGTAAGTAAGTAAGTATATATGAAAATATTAGACTAGTCAAGGCGATTTATGAGTTATTGATAACGGTGGATAGTGTAATGATAGTTGTACTAGTTGTTACAACAATTATAAAGGCTTGAATCAATGTTTTTTTAGCAGGGAGTAAGGCAAAGACTTAGAAAAGTAGACACGGAAATAATTTTGTGAAAAAGTGGTGGAGACAAGTGGGAGGACAAAGGGTTTGGAAAATAAGTAAAATCATTTTTTATGGCTATCTCGATCAAGGAAGAGATAAGATGGTTACAAATTTATTATGAACACAAAAACCTGAGTCATTAGCTCGAATCCCTTTAGCTTCGGCTACGTGTAAGAGACAAGATGAAACCCTATAAGAAAAGATAGTAGATAAACGATAAATTACTCTGAATCATTGTTCTATCAACTAACTGAGCATTATCGACAAAATGTGACAGAAAGAAGTTGATCAAACTCTTTGCCATTGAATAGGAAAAAGAGAATTCAGTGAAGAAAATTCTCTTTTCGACGAAATCATTTACTTAAGCTGTACATTCGTATATATAGTTATATGGAAAATATATGTCTGTAGAGAGATAAAAAGGATTGTATCAGAAAAATGGATTCGAGAATAAATAACAAATGAGGTTAACGTACTAATCAAGGGGTAAGGGAGAACAAAATTTATGGGTCACATAATAGTCCAATTGACAGATATGAAGAAAAACGACAAAACAACAAAGGTCATAATATTAAACTGAATGATAACCAAGAAAACTTGTATAAGGTAATAATAATAAATGATTAGAGTTTAAAGTGCAAAGTAGTAATAATAAAAGTGCATTAAAAAACCCCACCTAGAAACATACCCATTAAGGGAATTAGGGCCAAGGTAGGATGAGAGGTTGGACAAATCGTTTCTGCATGCAAAGTTCAGGCTTTAGTTTGTGGATTGCCAATGCCTCTGCGGTGCATAAAATATCGATTCGAACCCCCTTCGATCCAGTTCCTTTGACTCTGTAAACTATTTTAAACGAAGAGTCTTTTGGAGCGATATGTCCATAATTGATTAAGTGGTCCTGTATAGAACTCGTGATTGTTTTTCGCTCCCCTTTCAAGAGCCAAGCCGGATAATGTTGCGAGATGCGTTTGGATAATGATCGCTTTGTGTGGCCTATGTAGCATGCCCCATATGAGCAAGTAAATTTATAGATACACATTGAAGTGGCCCAAAGCGAAAGTTTGTCCTTAACACAACCCAGAATGGTAGGTCGGCTAGAGAAGTTGATTCGAAGCTTCGCTGCGTGGAATGTTTTATTCAATGATTTCGAAATCCGTTTATTTAGGATTTCAGCAGCCGTATCTCCCTTAAATTCCATATTCATAAATAGAGTTTTTTTCTCTACTGTCAATGCTTTGTCATGAGGTCTAGGTACCAAGTTTCTATCGATGAATTATTACTTTTATTATTACTACTTTGCACTTTAAACTCTAATCATTTATTATTATTACCTTATACAAGTTTTCTTGGTTATCATTCAGTTTAATATTATGACCTTTGTTGTTTTGTCGTTTTTCTTCATATCTGTCAATTGGACTATTATGTGACCCATAAATTTTGTTCTCCCTTACCCCTTGATTAGTACGTTAACCTCATTTGTTATTTATTCTCGAATCCATTTTTCTGATACAATCCTTTTTATCTCTCTACAGACATATATTTTCCATATAACTATATATACGAATGTACAGCTTAAGTAAATGATTTCGTCGAAAAGAGAATTTTCTTCACTGAATTCTCTTTTTCCTATTCAACGACACTATGGGTTATTTTAATTACCTCTGCCATTCATAAAGGGTAATGTAATGAATAAATGTTGTTAATAAGTAAGAATAAAATGAATAAAGTTCAGTCAATCAAAATGGGATTACTAATCCGGAAGACAGTCAAAATAAAAGGATGTAATAAGATATTTCATGAAAAGAAAGAGTAGAACAAAACTGTTATGATATAATAATGGAATATTTGTAAACAAGTCAAAGAAAGATTCACAATCATCTCCTTTGAAACAATCTCATTATATATTAACGACTGTATTTCTGTTGTTTTGTAGCGTCAGGAAGAGTAGTTTCACGTTAGCTGTCGATGGAAATATTTTATCATTTACTACTTGCATAGATTTCTTCCAAACCCTTGAGCGTAACCCATTTCAATAAACTCTGGTACCTTGTTTATTGCATCGTCTGAAAAAGATCTTCTCAGCTCTATTGGTCGAGTATCTAATTACCTTTCTCTTGTAACAAATAGGTAAAACCTAAAGAACAGTGTGTAATATCATACACAATTCTACTGATAGAGTTATTCCCCTTTGTCTTTAACAAAACTTCAAGGCAACGCGATTTGTTATGTATTTCATATATAAATCTGATTTCTGAGAATATATTGTTTAATCTTCATATATTCATAAAAATATAACTAGAATGTACTAGAGTTAGGTTTGATGAAGATCTGACTTAGAACAATATTGTTCGCTTATACATATTGATCTAACTAAAAAACTGTGTTTGTAGGGTGTTCAGTTTCTTTAATTCACATTAAATCTGATGCAACCAGGAACCAAAGGATTTTGTCTCCCACACAAAGTCAACATAGTATTTCTTAGAGGACTTAGATTTTCTAAGGAGTCAACGCCAATGAATTGTAGACGTAAAGGCTCAAACCATGAGGTGCTAAAGTAGCTTTAGGAGAGGGCGGTAACCGACAATCGGTTCATACACCATCTTTCATATGTCTTTTGTTTTGAAGCCCGTGTACACTAATGGTTTGGTATCAGGGTTTCCCAACTATACTAGGTGGAGTTTCCGTGTCGACCAAGCTGACTAAAGTGCTTTCAATTTCGACCATTCTGAGGAATTTTGAGGGCTTGTGAAATAAGTAAGTGTATATATTACTGATAGTCAATAGGTAGCTAATACTGTCCGTTTGGATTTCCATTATTTATTTATTTGAACACATAAATATCGGTATCAAGGAGCACGGCATGCACATGTGCTACATAAGTCACTTCATTTACGTGTGGGCTGTGATACAGCCCGGGTTTCCGGACCGAAGCAGGTGGTTTTCTTAGGGAGTCACACTCGGAGCCTTCGACCCAAAGGTCTGATCCACAAGGCAGTGGAGCATCGTGAGGAGATGCAGTCCCATGGTAGCCGGTAACCAATAATTGATTCATACGCCATTTGTTCCCTTAGGATCCTGGAGACCGTGTGGAACATTGGTTAGGAATCAGGGTTTTCCAACATCCCTAGTGAACCATCCGTGTCCACCAACCTGGTTAAAGCGCCGGATATTCGCTTTTCATCCTCTCAATAACTGACTCCAGACAACAGAATAATCAATGAACTTTTCAATGTCTTGATCTTTTTCGTCACCTAATCACCTAAACTAGATTGTGATTAGTAATAAATTGTGTGTGTGTGTGTGCGTATTTTGTTTTATTTAGAAATCATTAGTCAGATTTACCTAGATCCATGTTGTTGTCTACATTGAGAATTGAATGAATAATATCCAACCAATCAAAAATCAATTTATTTAGCCTATTCTCCATGTATAACTATTATTCACTTCAACGGTATTATTCATTTATTGATTGTCAACAGTATAATCATTTATATATATTTTATAAATACATCTTTTACTTAGTATATACCATAAGTCTTACTTGTGTATCGTTCTAGTCATCAGTCTAACTATCCTTTACTTTCTTTATGGTTAAACACTTTAATTATATTGGTATTACTTTCTAACTTTGATGTTATCTTTAATTTTTATTGCCGACAAATTGAAAGAAGAAAAAAAACCCTATCAACTATAATCAAATGACATCACATCTCTGTACATACAACATTCCTCTCACACTCACTCACTATCGCTCACCCTCTCCCTCTCTCTCTCTCTTGTCTGCTCTCCAACCTCTAGCCTTATAAATAACTTTGTAACTGTACATTATATAATTGTTACATATTTGAAATTTAATTTTATATTCATTATTATTCTGTATAGAAACAAGACAATGGTCTTAGTCTATCAGTACAATGTCAAAGCAATAATTATCAACATGGTAGTAAGTATCAAATGAATACATCTTATTGTAATAAAAAACACTATTACACCTTATGATTACTAGTGTTGTAACGAAATGAAGTATTGTTATTTAATAGTTGAATTCATGAGTCAATTAAAGTTAGATAACCATGGTAAACCTAGAAAAACATTGGACGGCCGTTTCGTCCTAGAACGAGATTTTTCAATAGTGCGCATCTAAAATTTCGCATGAGAGACTCAAACCGTGAACCTATCAGTCTCATGGGTGAACGCCCAAACTCTAGACTACTGAGCCGGTATCTAACGGTGTTAATATCTAACTTCAACCAATCCATGAAATTGTTCCGCCATCTATCATTGTCTTCAGTGAGTAACTACTTCTACAACATATACGGTTGAACTCTACTGGTCGCATACTCGAAAAAAACAGCCATCCAGTGTTTTTCTAGGTTTACCATAGTAGTGCAACTTTAATAGACTCATAAATTCAACTATTAAAATTGTGCTCACGCGCGAAACCAGTAGGTTCTGGGTTCGAATCTCTCAGGGGGCAATGTTGTGGTTGCGCACTGCTGAGGAGTCCCACAATAGGACGAAACGGCCTCCCAGTGCTTCCAGATTTTCCATGGTGGTCTAGCTTCAACTGACTCATGATCTAAACCATTGATATTAAAGTTGTCATTGTATTGTATTGAACATTTTGATAACTTACATGAATAAGCAGATATTGTATAACCAAATATATATGTACAAAATCCAACTGGCACAAAACGTACAGCACCAATGACCAAAAGGCTAAGAACTTTAAAAGATAATAATAAGAAAAATCAGAAAATGTTCATTTGGAACTAATCAGTATATAAATGTATTTTACAATCACTAATTGATGATCATCAGAATTGATAATAACAAGTTAATAAATCAATTTCATACATATAACCTCATAGGTATAGACATAGTTATAGACATAGAGACTGTAAATGAATTACGACGTTTTTAAGTGTTTAACCATAGATTTCTTTGAAAATAAACGTTGTTGCTGTGTGGTTTAAAACAGTTTGATTAAATCTAGTTTAATGAACACAGTATAGTAGTAGATATATGTGAAAACTTAAATACCTTATAACCACCTAATGATAATATAAGGTATACAGAAAGATAGTTTAACACACGTAAATATAAAGTCAGATAAATATGTAGTGTGTACTACTTATATCGACATAAGTAGTATATAACGAGAGTCAGGAATAGAATGTCTGATAGCAGAAGATTGAAAAGATCGAGAAAGGATGAACGGGATCGGTATGGAAATACAGGAACAATGAAGTTTGAAACAATTAACGAATATTTTGTAAATGAAGTATTAGAGTATGGTTTTTCTATTGTACCTAGTAACTGTAATTTTGTGCTAAGATATAATATACATAAACCAAAAATATAGAACTAACCATTGACAAGATACATTGATTTCATGGGTTTTTCTTACAAATATTTCTCGTAATGTTTTGATTTGACCCTAGTTGAATTGATTATACTACTGGCAAGTCAATCAACTCATTGTATTCAACCAGTTTACTAACATTTATAAGGTTATGAATATAACAGTCAGATAATTGTGAATAGGTGGTCACATGTTTGATTTCTATCTTAAAATTTATTATTTGGTTAAATAATTAACAATAACTCTTTTGATATCAGAAGCAGTTTTGTGATTAAGCGCTCTGATATAGGTCCTGGGATTGAATCTCGCTGGGGAGGCGGGATCGCAGTTGAGCACTGCTGAGGAGTCTCACAATGGGACGAAACGACCATCCAGTGCTGGTCGCACAATTTCATGGATTGGTTTATATTAGACACTAACACCATTGGATGCCGGCCGGTTCAGCGGTGCAGTAGGTTAGGCGCTCGCGAGCGAGACTGAAGGCCCTGGGTTCGAGTCTCACGAGCGGGATCGTGGATGCGCACTCTTGAGGAGTTCCGCAATAGGACAAATCGGCCGTTCAGTGCTTCCAGGTTTCCAACGGCGATTCTAATTAATTATCTTATGATCAATAAAATTCAAACTGAAAAACTTTACGGTCGGTATATTTTTCTCTTTGTCTGTCTTGTAGGGAATAGAATGGTGATTTCTTTAAATTTATTGGGTTAAGCAAATGTATTCATATAGGATAGAAAAAATATTATAGTAACAGATATAGTCGGCATAATTTTGTGGATAAAGGTGAATGGCAGGAAAAGCTTTTTAATATATTTCTTTTCTTTAAAAATCAGATGACCATAATGAATAAAGCGGTAATTAACATTATTAGTATACCCCTATCATCTTGTGAAATCTTGACAATTCAATAATTAAATATGGCATCGTATAAAACTGACTTATTCTATTGATTTGAAATTTCATCTTCAATTATTAACAGTTTAAACAAGTAAAACTTGTATGCTTACCGCTAGATCATTTGGGTTTAATGATGAATCTACTAAGATTTCAGCATCTTAGAAATATAGATTCTTCAGTAAACACATACACACAAAAGGTGACACATATTACATAGATGTGTATATTGTTGTGATGATGTCGTTCATTTTACATGACTGTAATTCAACCTTTAATGTATTAATACAAATTTCCGATTGAGTAAGATAGATGAAATGAAAATATCTAGACAAAATCACACTACTTACAAGTAGCAAAATATATTAAATCGACAGTAGTAGGTTGTAGGCTGTTATTATTGATTTATTCTTTATATTAGTACTAACAACAGTTAATCGTTGAACAACCTAGCTTGTTCAATCAGTCAGTCAGTAACAACGTAGAACTTCGTATGTACGTACATCAGTTCGAGTTGCCATACCACATTAGCACAGAGATGCAGTTGTCGATTCAAATCCCGTAGTGGTAGAGGTAGTAAGAGTATAAGCAGTAATCGGAAAGATTAGGGTTTGAAGATGTTATTCAAGGAGTATAATCCAATGAAATAAATTTGGAAAGAGAAAAAAGAAAGGGACATGAAGAAGTCAGAAGATTAGAATTTGGTAGAACATAAAGAATGGATGCACCTGCACCATTGCAAACGATTTTGAGCCATGTTATTCATGGTCTCAAACTATCGGTTGCTGTCATCTCGCGGTCCCCAACCAGGTAGTCTACACCTACCAACATGGCTCAGTCCACTTGTCAGTGACTTCATTGATTTGTGCCATATTTTAGTCTGGCCACCCCTAGCTTTCTTCCAACCTACTCCTATACCATTGAACATCGCTCGTCGAGGTAGTCGGTGGTTGGGCATACGTAACACGTGTCCCAGCCATCTCAACTGATGAAGTTTCACTACTTCATCAACTGATTTGCCATCCTTACCTAGTACCCGTTTCCTAACAACTGTGTTACTTACTCGATGGTCCCATAATATACGAGCAATGTTTCGAAGACACCTATGATCGAATACTAGTAGCCTACGAATATCCTCTACTCTTACCGGCCATGTTTCACTGCCATAAAGTAGGACGGAACGAACTGCTGCGCAGTAAACACGTCCTTTGGTTGATAGACGGATATCTCGCCTACGCCATAAATGGCGCAAGTTGGCAAAAGCTAGTCGAGCCTTCTGTATCCGTGCTGAGATTTCGTCACACACCAAACCACAAGGGCTGATGAGACTTCCAAGATAAGTGAAGCGGTCGACACACTCAACTACTTCACTCCCTATCACTAGTTCGGGTGTCGATGTAACCCAATCCTGAAACAACATTTTGCATTTTGAGGGGGAGAATCGCATCTCGAACATGCTTCCATTATTGCTTATAGTGGTCAGAAGACTCTGCATTTTGTCAGCGTCTTCACCAAATAAAACTGTCATCTGCATATTCTAAGTCAACAAGTGAACCTCTCGGTAGAAGTTCAACCCCTGTAAATTTAGATGAGGAGAGTGTTATCTCTAAAAGTACATCGACCACAAAGTTATCCATATAAAGCTATCAAGTTAGTCACTGGTTACAAGTATAATTTTTGTAAACCAAGATGGCAAGTTGTAAGTTAAATGATGCAGCAATGTTACATTTTACCGTCAACATCGTGAGTTTAGCTAACAATAATAAATGATCGTGTGTGTGTGTGTGTTTGTGTAAATAAAACCCCTTTAATCGCTAAGATTATTTCAAATATAATTATCACGTATAATGCTTTTTAAAGGTTGAATTCGTTTAAATCTAACAAGATTTCTTCGTATCCATTACCCCTAAAATTGCCGAAGCTCTTGCTATCCATGAAAAGAGGTCGTAACTTTATGTACGAATGCAGTACATCTTATCGTTGTCTTTATTGTGGTCATAAAATACTATTATTAATAATTTATTGAATATTATTTATTTCGTTTTTCAAAAAATATCCCCCTGTCTCTTTTTGCTTATCCCTCATACCTCTGTGATTTTATTCATTATTATTTGTAACTCTAATGGTTGAGATCAGGAGTCAATTGAAGCTAGACGAACATGGAAAAATTAAAAGAATTGGGCGGCCAACTCGCCCTATTGTGGAACTCCTCAGCAGGGCACATTCACGATCCTTCCCGCGGAACTCGAACCCAGGGCCTTTCACTTCTCGCAAGTGATTGCTTAACCTCTAGACCACTGAGCCGTCATCCAATAGTGTTGATAAAATAACTTCAACCAATTATATTTCTAGTATGTCTTTGGAAAATACGTGTTCCTTATACATCAATCTTAATTTAATGTTAAAATGAGATAACTCAAAGATTAAAATGTTCAAGTGGTAATTCCTCAAGTTATAGTGAAACAAAAAAACAGTAGAAAGTGCATTGAATCTACATTGGGTCTGAATCATTTAGTTAAAATAAAATCATTGAAAGATGGGTGTACATTATCGTGAATTGATTTAACTTAAACATAGATATCGACTCATTTGGTCTAAAGATTTAACATTCAACTGTTGATAGGAAATTTCTTGAATTAGTTCCCTAATAGAATTGTAAATGTGCATCAATGTAGAGTTTCATATTGAGACAAAATAATCATTTAGTGTAACCTGGCTTACTTCCCAATGACATAAACTAGAAATGTATCACCGATTATAGGTTTACTGAATGGATAATACATTTACAAAACTTAATACTGTTATGGTAAGTATTGATGGAATGTATTTCAGTCAGTCAGTCAGTCACTCAGCAACAACGTAGAACTTCGTATGTATGTACATCAGTTCGAGTTGCCATACCACATTAGCACAGAGATGCAGTGGTCGATTCAAATACAGTAGTGCTAGATGTAGTAAAATTATAAGCTGTAATCAGAAAAATTAGGGTTTGAAGATGTTATTCAAGGAGTATAATCCAATGAAATAAATTTGGAAAGAGAAAAAAGAAAGGGACATGAAGAAGTCAGAAGATTAGAATTTTGGAGAACACAAAGAGTGGATGCACCTGCACCATTGCAAACGATTTTGAGCCATGTTATTCATGGTCTCAAACTATCGGTTGCTATCATCTCGCGGTCCCCAACCAGGTAGTCTACACCTACCAACATGGCTCAGTCCACTTGTCAGTGACTTCATGGATTTGTGCTATGTTTTGGTCCGACTGCCCCTAGCTTTCTTCCAATCTACTCCTATACAAAAAAACATCGCACATCGAGGCAGTCGGTGGTTGAGCATGGAATTTATTTGAAATCTAACAAAAAGTTTCTAATTCATATTTGTCATTAAACGATATCCCAGGACAGGGTTGGATGAAGAATGCTGGTGAGCGGCTTATGTTCCTTCACGAGGAGTAACAGGCGTAAGTAAGTAGGTAAGTATTAGACGATATATACAAGTATTAACCAACATCTTGATTCATCTTTAAGCTGATAAATTCCCTAAAAGAGAATATAGTTAAGTTTCAATAAAGGGCGTATTATTCTACTTACTTCTCTTAAACATATGTAAAAAAGATATCTAATATTACCATTGGTAATTCAAGGTTAAATAATCACTCAAGGATAGTAAAATTTGATATGGTCGTCAAAATAACTACAAAAAGTACTGAAAGTAATTGATTTTTTAAACGTGTACTTTAAAATGGTGAATGTGATTTAGAAACTGAATTATTCATGACGAAGTGAATTGGTAAAGTTTATTCTTTTCTTTATCTAACGATCAACTAAAGAAACATTCATTAGTTTTTAGTTTTCTGCGGTTTTTATTCACTGAACTGGATGGTTTGATAGTGTTTGCATGATATCTCAATGGGTTGTTGTCAAGATTTTTAAATGTTTTGATGTGTGTCCTTTTGTACATTCATCTTTTAGTCCTCTATGACATGTTGTTATCATTAAGTGTATCATTTTTCTTTCACTTTGCTCAAGTATTCTCCATCCCAATAGGTAGGTGATTGGAGGTCTGTATCTTACACTTGTTGGTAGAACATGATGATGAAGACATTCGTAGAGAAAATACAGTTGTTCTCGAGTGGAAGCCTGTCATTTGGCGAAAATTTCCTATTTTCGAACAACGAGAAGCTTACTACACTCATATGACTTTGAGATGGTAGAGAAGATATGTAGCTCAGGTGGGTGATTTTGGTGGAGTTTCGTCCTCTGAACTACAAATCTTTTCCACTATCTCAAGTTTTATGAGTATTCTTGATCAATATTTTCTGTTCATTGAAATACGTTTTCCATTATCATTGATATTCTGTTTTTATACTGTTGAGGAAAATTCATATTGTAGGTTGATGCATTTATATGTTAGATGGTTAAGAGTGAATCAGCAAGGAACCCTTGACGTAGTTCCTATGCTTCACGGATCGGTTTGTGATTTCAGAAGACTGCACAATCTCCACAATTTCATACTGACAATTATTATGTGATCACTAGTGATCAGATTCAATAAAAATGTTCCGGATTTTTGGTGAGAAACTGTGACTAGAAAATTTCAAACGTGTTGGGTGTGTAGAAAGTACTCATTGAAGAAAATAGGAGATATTCGTACAATATCACAGGTTTATTGAAATAAGACTCGTACACTTTTGGATCTTGGCTAACTAATCGATAGGTAAAGTGTTTACGCACAAAACATCAGACCTTTTTTTCTGATCCCAGTTGCGCGATTGTCGATTGTTGTCTGAATTGAATTGGTTTGTGACCTCAATAAGATTAAACAGTCTCTGTAAGACCATAGTAACCACTCATATTTATCTGAGATATTTTTTCTATTTCTTGTTTCTAAATAGCCTTTACCCATCAAGTTGTAAATATCTCATACCTATAGCAAATCGGTTACATTTTGAATAACTTAGGGAAAACGTATCAGAATAAAACGTTGGTTGATTTAGTTTTGAATTTCTCAATAACTATCGATTTGTTTTAAGATTATCGGCAGACTCTGCTGATGAGTGGTAACTGTTATGTCGGTGGCTATGTTAAATCCACATAGCTTATTCAAGCTTCTAGACAAGTTAATTTATCAATTGTTCTTGAGTCATATTTTGACCTTGTTAATTATTCACTTATCAATTTTGACTGTTTTTATGTAAGCCCATATGTGTGCCCCTCTTATCCCATTCAACGATATCGATTAACGCTTGATTAAACGGAATTCGCTCACACACCTTCACTGTGCATCCTTTCGTTTCATTTCGCTATTTCTTTTCTTCGCTTTATTCACTACGATTCTCTGATTGTCCGTTTCGATCAGCGAGTGTACAAAATATACGTATTCAATCATCCATTCTCGGATTTGACCTACTTAACTTCATTATTCACTGACGTAATTTATTTTATCTGAGGATAGACGGCACATGTATATTTCAATAACAATAAATCATACGATCTAACTGGAGTCAGATCTCAGGTTACAAAATAACTAGTATGAAACCGATATCAACCTGTCGATTACCTCCAATCACTTGACACGTAATTGTAAACAATAAATTCATTTCACCTGATATTGTTTGTTTGAATCTTCCCATTGATGTTTAGAACTGTAATTGATCAATCTCTTATTGGTATATGTACATACTGTGCATATTTGCCTCGATATAGCCTTAATTCACAAGCATTATATGCAAACATCGACAGTGGTTAGCAGTGCAAATAAGAGACTGATCAATTGCAGTCCTAAACACCAATGGGAAGATTCAAACAAACAATACCAAGTGAATTTAAAACTTCACCTCCTTGCACAAGCAAGTGGCTATCAGGACTCAGTAGCTAAATGGATAACGCGATGGCGTTTGAAGCGAACGATACTGAGTACGAGATTCACAGTGAACTTCAACTCTCAGATGCAAGTACATTCAGCTGACCAGTCCCAAATAAGATGAAACGCGTGTTCTGGATTCCACTGATAGCCACTATCCATCTTTAAATAAATTCATTTATTTATGTAAAAAGAAATCCAACAACAACAATAAATTTACCTGATCCCATTAGACCACATATTATGATTTGATATAATGATAAAGTGAATTCTGAATCCGCATTATATTGAAAATTTGCAAAATTGCTATGATTTATAAAATTGACTGGTATACATACACCACCAATTGGTATCGTAGGATATAATGGTAATGTTGGACATAATGATACATTTAAAATACGCGGTTGAGATCTAAGAATAAAATTATAAATTAATTAAATAGATGGATATTAAGATATATGTATTAAGATATAAATGAGTTAAATATAACTATGGACTGATCAAAGATACTTTAAACAGTATTGGATCACATTTCCGATATAAAGATTAATGATACTTGTTATATCCTGATGAGAATTATGAATAGTAACGTTTAGGAACTATTTATGAATCAATACGATACATACATTTTTGGTGTTAAGTAACTAAACTATGCATATTCATATTCTTCTTATTATAAGCTTTGTTTTGACCCATAGACTATTATTTTACGATTTACTGTTCTTGAATACCGTCCAGTTTATTGATTAAAGTCTCCCACATTCACAGCAACTTTTGGCTAAATCTTGTACAAATTTTATTTTATATTTTATGGTAAGATAAGGTCTGTTTGGTTTGTATATAAACTTAATATGTTTGAGATATATATGATTCATATCGCGGAGGCTGTGTTCTGGACTTCATGGATAGGACTAGACAGGATGCAGGACCGATAAGGACGGTAGACTACGTACGGGTTTCATGTGTGATTGGTCCGGTCGATAATTCATTGCTCTCTAATTGGCGGCATCATTAAGTAATACTCATGAATCTTAGCTATAGTTAATCATATATTTTATATTCTGTTCTTTTTTCTATAACTTTTGATTCCCTAAAGTAAGCATACATTATTTCTGAAAATTGAGTTAATTGAAACTAGACTGATAGGTCATGGGTTTGAATCTCGTGAGTCAGAGTCGTGGATGCGGACTGTTGAGGAGACACATACTAGGATGAAACGGCTTTTCAATACTTCGAGGTTTTCTATGGTGATCTAGTTTTAAATGACTCATGAACTCAATTATAAAATTACTATAATCTTCACAATACTCTCCCTGAACATCAGTTATTCTTTTATGAAATTTATCGTTTAAATTTAAACTAAATTGTCAAGTAAAATTAGTTTTATTATAAAGCAATCTATAATTTAACTAACAAACTCTAATACGTAGTTATGGCACTACATTCATTACACAAACCATATTCATGAGTTAATGAAAATACGACACTTTACAAATATATATTATGTTTTGGAACGCTACATAGTTTTTTCTAGGTTTGAGTCTCAGTACGTAGAACTTCGTACGTAAGTACATCAGTTCGAGTTTTCATACCACATTAGCACAGAGATACACTTCTCAATTCAAATCCCATATTGGTAGAGGCAGTGAAAGTATAAGCGGTAGGCGGAAAGATTAGGGTTTGAAGATGTTATTCAAGGAGTATAATCCAGTGAAATAAATTTGGAAAGAGTAAAAAAGGACATGAAGAATTCCGAAAATTAGAATTTGGGAGAGAACGAAGAGTGGATGCAACTGCGTCGTTGTAAACGATTTTGAGCCATGTCATTCAAGGTCTCTAACCATCGGTCGCTATCAACTCGTGGATCTCAACCAGGTAGTCTATACCTTTGCACGAATATTACAAATGGGATCCTGAATTATTCAGCTGGTAAGTTTCAAACAAGATAAAGTACATATTTTGTATTCATTTGATAGATTTTATCCAGAATACAATAGAATTATCAATCACTCATTAAATAACAAAAGAATATATAAGTATGAAAGTGAATAACCATTTAGCAACTCATAACCATTCACTTTTACTGGTCATATCAACAGCTTTCCAAAAAGGTAAATTATTTTTAAGGAATAAACAATACTATTTCTTTTTTAATGCGTTCCAAATTTACTAGTACATTTATCTACAAATAAGTACATGCCTATGATCAAAAAGAGTACTAATATATATAGTGGATAGTAAGTAATAGACACCCTTTAAAAATTACTGATGCTATAAGTTTACGTCGACAAAATGAACTAAAGTGTATTTTTATCCATAAACTAGGAGTTGGAGAATGTGACTTAATGGACTAGACTACTAAACTATATCTTAAAACTCAATACATCCATGTTAATTTCACGATTTTTGATATTCACGGAAAATATTTTATACAACACGACAATCATAAGAAGTGAAATTGATCAAATGTTCACTTTGTAAATGAAATGAAAACCCAAATTAAAATACATCATTGATTTATATAGTTGACTCCATCGCTACAGTTAAACAATTTTGCCGAAACCATTCAAGTTTGATTGATTTCCTACAGAAAGGGTATTATCAAAGGTATCAACCTGGCTGTAAAGGTGTATCCAGTTTCATATTACAGTTCTAACAAGTGATCAGCACGTAGACCAGTTACAAAGTTCCCTTGATGCTTTATATTCAAGTGTCTACAGTTTACTTAATCATCTTAAAAATAAAAAGCAACACCTCTCAGTATTGCCATACTAGATAAATGTAGAACTATATAATCTGTTAAAGGACTGTAATAATAGTGATCAATAAGTGATTGATTTTTTCGGCCTATTTTCTATATAAAACGTCCAATATCTTGCTTACATAGTACTTAGTTGAATAGTGATCCAGTCAGACTGTGATTGAGTATTGTAAAATTCCATTCAATGTTTCGATATATTAGATAACAAATAAAATTAATTTTTAAGAGAGTTAAAATTCTATTCATTCCATACTGTTGAAGTCACTTGAATAAATTCCCTTAAGTATGTGCTTTACACCAAATTAAGTATTCGCTTTTAGTTTACATAACCCCTAGTGATGTTTTATCACACTAAGCGGTCAGGTGGTATAATTTCAATCATCGTATGATGAAAGTGTAAGAAGAACTGTGGTTCGTTAGTCATTTTTAGCTATCCTTAATCTTAACTATCTTACTCTAAATGATAATACAAACTAGTTCTAAAGTAGAATTTTACGCCATGAAAAGGAAAAACAAACCTCAAATATGCTTGAGCAATTACTGAGGGTGTTCAAAAGACTCTGTATTATGCTAGCATTGTAGGGACGTTTAAACTAACTAAAGAAAACGAACACATCAACTTTTGAATGACAAAAATTATTGAGTGATTTGAATGTCGAGGAAACACTAATGAAATAAGGAGGTGTAGTTGTAAGTTACACAGCTTGTTAAAAAACTATGAAGCTTTTCTAAATACACCATCGAATGTCATAAATATATTTATATACAGGGAAAACACAAAACCCTCACGAAATAGTTTATGGTTTCTATAATAAACACATGCTATTAAATATTTTTGTCTAAAAATATTATACATAGTAAAACGTTTTCTATAAATTGTTTTCTTCACACAACTGTCTTGTATAAATTCATTCATACGTTATAATAGTCAAACAAAAAACTGTCCTCTGAATAAGCAAACCTAAATTATTGCCTATAACTAATATAAGCTAAGTTACGCTTAGTGAGTTTTTGCAACAAATTGAGATGAAAACAGCTAATCGTCACAAATATATGTGTCTATAAAAATAATCACTTTTTAAGAAGAATAAAATGCAAAATGTAGACAAAAACTTGATTTCTATGTTTTGTCATTGCGATCACCGAAATGCACAGATCTTACTACTAAGCAAACATAAACACTACCTATACCATGATAATCGTGAGATGGTTTAACACCTAGCATTAAAGACCGACTTCTGACAGTGGCTAGCTGCCGTTAATCCTTATTTATGGGCGTCTTCGATCATTTTAAATCTTATGACGCATTATTTCACTTAATGAAACATTTAATGTTTTAATCTTATTGTAATCGTCTTATAACTCTCCAAATCAAAGATATTGGAGTTCTTTTAATTATCCTGGATAGCCTTCTGCTTTCCTTTATTTTACAGAGGGGACCGCTAACCCATATTTAACTCCCCTCTTTTACCTGGGCCTAGGACCGGCAGTAATCACATATGTGCTGCAAGGGGAGTACAAACGAGAAGAAAAATATTTCAAGTACTATGGATGGTCCTCTTAAATTTTGCAACAACTGACTTTATAATAGGTTGAAAGCACTTTCGCAAAAACAAATATGTAGATGTCGATATTACGTGCAGTTGTTTAACTGAAACAAATTTAAAACAGGAAACTTTATTGAAATCTTTAAAGGTTTAGTAAACAGAATTTTCAACCAACACACTCTATACACATAACCCTGCACATACGCCGGATAGATCATATGTTCCTAAAAAGACGTTTGTAAATGATAAAGTAAGCACAATGACTAGGTCTCATAACAAAAAGATTGTAGAAGCAATATTAAATAAATGTTGTCCAACTTACTCATAAAGCAGAGGAGGAATCCTTGGGTCACACAAGAATACACCTGTTGAGTTTATAAAATTTGAAAGCTGCTTCGAAGAGTTTATGAAACGGTCCGGACATCTTTGAACACAAACAGGTACAGATAATACCTTGTCTTCAAAATTAGTGTGAAGCAAGTATCTATAAATAAACCATGTATGTTTCCCTACTTATACTTAGAAACGTTGAATTTCATAAACAAAAGTGGCTTCAGATTCTTTTCACTACCACAAACGTTGCCATTACAGTCGTAGTTGCTGAAAAGTATTTCTAAATCTGATAATGCTATCACGTAAATCCAGAGACCGATCTATTGGACGTTTGTTAAAATGCAAGCAAAAAGCTCACTATGACAATGCTAACTGAGACGAATATACCACCGAATATTTTATCTGTAAATTTGGACTCAAGCGATTCCTCATTGTACATCGTATTACCGCTGCCTCATAATTGACCTTAAAATTGATCCTTCCGCAAATATGATCTATGGAAATTAGTACAAAAAAAATCAAAATCCTTAAAAACTCAACAGAACAAGTTATTTAAAAAACACTTTTTATTAACATTTTCTTTCATTTTAATAGATGTAGATAAAAGTATATGATATTTTATTGCATACTTTAGAACAAAGAGTATGGGTGAACTCCAAGTTGTCTAGCTGGGAGACTGTGCTTATTGGAGTGCCCCCGGGTGCAGTTTTGTTCATCATAGGCTCAAAGTAATACATTTGATTGGGTTCGACAAAGAGTCCAACTTCTAGCAAGTTCACACTCCTACATATATGCATTATAAGAGAGTTTTTTGTTTTCATACTTTTCCGTACACAAGACGTCTACACTGTGCCTATTTCCTTCCAAAATACCAATCCGTTCTGGGGGCCAATCACTTACGTGGAACCGAACAATTATCAATTATATTTACGTATTTCCATTTTGTATCTTATTATTTTATGCAGGCAGTGGATCAGTTCTTCAGGTTTGATCGGTTTTCACCATTACTTTTGAAGTAGATTCTTCCTTACTTTTTACTTAAGGGCGACTCAAGAGACAGGTGAGTAAGCATTTGATAGCCGGTCTGAGCATGGAAAAATCATACCTCATCAACATGGTGTTGGGTAGCCCGCTCGCGGCACTTCCTCAGATATTCTTGTTCCTTATTCCCACACTCTCTTGCGAGCACGTAGCAAACCGTCAGCGATGGTTGTAGAAGAAATCACATGCTACAAAATAAACTGACAAGCTATCAAATGAAGCGACATCTATGAACTATCGTTGACTGCTGCCGGAGTTAGTCGTCATTGATTGGAAGTCAAAGTGAGCAAGTTGATAATTTTTCCTTGGGTAGAGTAAACAGAACTAAGGTGTTTTTGATAGATAGGTTAGTCGAACCGACCTTCTTACGGAAGTCGATTATAGGGGGGGAGCTAATGTAACAGCTTAGGTTGGTTGGTTAAGAGTTCACCTCAAACAACTAAGCATATGTCAAAACAGTATAGTTCAAGTATTTGTTCACTTCCTTGCTTTGTATAGGCGTCATATTTCCTTTTATCTCATATTGAATGTTGAGAGGTTTTGTTTGTCTGAATAAATAATCCCACGCTCCACTGTGACTGCACGAAGATCTAAATAAAGAACTACTAACTACTTGTCTGGTTTCTTCTATCAATAGCACGAGGGTTACCTAGAGGAACGAAATACTTACCAACACTGTCAGCAGAAACTTCATAAAAAGAGACGCGAAAACCAGTTTAGTCAGAAGTTGGAAAAAAAGGGTTCGAAAATGTCTTTCAATCGTATTTAGTGTGTTGAGCTTTATTTAATTTAGCTGACTCGTCCTCGTGAGGCCTGCGCAACATGGCGTACCCGAGCATGGTCTAACGTTGACGCTTGACGCACTAACTTCAGCAATGGATGCCGCCAATCACAGAGCAGTGAATTATCGATCGAACCAGTGACGCATAAAACCCGTGCGAACAGCCTAGATTCCTTATTAGTCCTGATTCCTGCCTAGCCCAGTCAGTTAAGTCCAGAACGCCAATCTCAGCCTCTGCAATATGAACCATATATTTCAAGCATACTGGGTTTATATACCAACCAGACAGACTACATCGTAACATAAAATAGGAAACAACACTTGTACAAGAATCAGCCAGATGTGGCCGTGAATGAGGAAGATAGTAATTGATAGACAGGGTGTAACTCAAGAATGGTGAATCGTATAATAATATTTCATAGGTCAAAATAAAGCTCATAATAAGAGGGACAGGAATATGAATTTTTTAGTTATTTAACAATTATACGATGAAGTGTATGCATAGTATTGATCCATAAATGGACCGCAAAAGTTACCATTCATTATTCTTATCGGGAAATAACAGTTAGACTAACAGATGGGTGGTTAAACGTGAGCTGTCTCTTTCTACTCCTAAAAATTGGCAAGATATGGCGTCCTTCAATCTTTTAGAAACAGCTCAAAGATGTGAGGGGAGGGGAAATCAACACTATGCGTCCCCGCAAGAATACCTGCGAGAGATCAGTGAAACTGGAGATGTAATCCATCAGCACTCGATGAGACAAATTTTAGTCAGTTAATGAACTCATAACCACTTAGTGGCACTTAAACACCAGTACGATGGTTGGTATCTTGGCAGTGCCGATGGGCGTTGTTCCAGCCTTAATTTTCCATGCATGGGTCTCTCTGAAGTACTCTGTTAAACTTTAAGCATTGGTTCCACCTGACTCCGAGTATGTGAATCTTTTTATAAGAGCGGTGATGAAATCCTACCTCGTCGTTTAGCTCCTTCCTTAATACGGAGAACATTCTTCCTAAACAAGTTTCACGGCGCCACAGATATCCGAAGTTCGAGAATATCTTCACACGCAATTTTTATGATTAAAGTATACCAACCCATTCAAATCCGAAGTTAGAAAATAATAGGTTAAAAGATATATTTTAGGGGCTGTCGATATATTGGGAAGAGTTGATTCGCAGCTGCAAGTGATGCGTAGCACGGTGAACCCGCTCGTGATCAGGTGTGGATGCATGAACGAACGTATTGAGCTAGATTTACCCACTAAAACTAACGAAGCCAGTATCAGATTTTGAGTTTCAATTTGGAAAGGAACGGAAGCTCGTTGGTCTGTATTAACCCTGGCAATGATTGTCTCTCAGTTGATCCAACGTTCTCTTGAAGCAGCCGACAGATTAAGCTTCAATCGCGTGCTGAGGCAGTGAATTTCACTCGTTGATTATTTGATGGGAAAGTCGATAGTCAGCTGACAAGTAATTTGTTCTGGGTTTGTGAACATTTTTGGAGTGTCCCCGTAAGTTCCATGTTTTGGAAAAGAAAAAAATGGGGGCATATCAGGTGCAAATTTGTCACTAAGCAATTTCAAAACTATGATCAGGCCACTTCTAATTCTTCAATACGACAATGGGAATATGTTTAGTTTAGCTAGTCGGGTATCATACGGGAGCTTCTAAGTTCCAGGAATTAGCTTAATTGCTGTTCTCTGAATCTTTTCAAAAAGCTCTCTGTTTTTTTAAGCGGGGTTAGCCGCTTGTATGGTGTGCTGAAGTCCAGGACGTACGAATACTGTGTACAAAGATAAAAACGTTTTAGTGTCGACATGGCTAAAGGCCCTGCGTATTGACCATAAGGTTCTGAAACCTTTGGCGGCTACTGCACGGCAGTGTGCAGTAGTCTTTAAGTCTTGACTAACGATGGCTCCTAAGTCACTATGTGCGTCTGGACAACAGGTACCTCAGGGTTATTCATCGTGTATGTATCTGTACCTTGCTGGTCGATATGTATCACAACACACTTGGAAGTATTTATCGGCAACTGCCAGGTTTGAGACCATTCGAATAATTTCTTCAGGTCATTTTGGATTTCTAAGCTATCACCCTCACATCGTATTGTTCTCCATCTCTTGACATCGCCAGCATATATCAAGATCAATTGTGATAAGAGGCGAATGAGGTAACTTACATACAAGAGGAATAGCATTGGCCCAAAAATGGTATCATGAGGAACCCCGCTAAGCACAGTTTCCCATCTAGACAATTTGGAGTTCACCCGTACTCTTTGTTGGCACCCAACTAGGAGGTGTGTAATCCACATTAATAGATTGTCCTCAACCACGACATTCCTTAGCTTATACAACAGCCGGTTGTGAGAAACTATGTTAAAACGTTTGCTGAAGTCAATGTAGACTACGTCTATAGATAACGTTTGGTTTTTAAGAGCGCACCACGCAACAGCTACTTCCGAATAACCTTAAAACAACCACGCTAGTCAGGCTAACGGGTCGGTAGTCCTCAATTTTAGGCTTAGTACCTGTTTTGAAGGCAGAACTAACAATGGCCTTCTCCCAGTTTTTGGTGACCGACCCTGGGTGACAGATAGAACAAAACATACAATTAAGGGGTTCCTAACGAAGTTTGGTAGTTACCTTAGTAACCTAAGATGTTGTTAATGGGATACCGGTGATTTGCCTATATCAAGCTAATTTAGCAGACCAAAGACTTCGATTTCTTTAATGGCCACGTTGTCTAGTGTGTGAACTGACAGGGAGTGTTTTTACGGTATATAGATTGACAAAGTAGTTTGAGAATACTTGATTTTTATTATAGTCGTCCTCTGCTAATGATAAAGCATTACTGTCTCCCCATTATGCCGGAATACTTCTTTGCCTTTTTGTCCTTCAGTTTATGTACGATTACAAGCGTTTAGGGCATTCATTAGATTCCCTAGCAATTTTTTCTTCGTAAAACCTTCTAGACTTACGGAGGGTCGAGGCACAAGTATTCCTAGCTTCTCGATATTCAGAATTTGTCTCACCAGTACCCAACAACCTAAATGTTATCCACATTTTCCTCCTTTTACAGAGAAGAGTGCAAACCTCCCTACTAAACTGCGGTGGAGAGTTTCTCGGACTCCTAGCTGTAGTCCAATGGATTTGAGGTGCAGTAACTTTTAAGTTTATATTTCGAAATGCATCACAAGCTGTTTCAATTGTTGAATTTGACTCTATTTTCCAATATACTGAGGATGCTTACTGAATTTGCTTTCCAGACGTCACATCTGAGTTAAGTTAACTTGTGCTCGCTTTTCGACAACTATATAATATAGTATATTTCTGCAAGGGTAGGTACACACTTTTTACAGACATGATCTACACAGTTAGAAATGCATGATCACTTTTATCTGGGGGTGTCATGTAGTCAAAGTTCATGGTGTTATCCTCATAATTGGTCAATATGAGATCTAGTAAGGATGATTCAGTGTCCAGGTGGTACCTAGTCGCTCATTTCACGTGTTGCATTAGGGTACATGTGATAACGGCAGCAAGTAGTTCCTGACCAAAGGAATTTTCTGAAAATTCAGTTCTCAGATTTTTCCAGTCTATCGTTGGTGCATTAAACTCCCTTAGGATTAATCATTGACCACTGTGAGACCAAGTACTGAGACTGTCAAGCAAGGCTTCATTTATCTTACAGCTTGAACTGCCGTAGACCAAACCGATCAGCAGCTATTGTCCCTAGCATTTCAAGCTGCAGTTAACTAATTCACACGTCCCACTCTCATAGGATAGTGTCGAAAATGGAGTGGGATAGTATTCCTAATGAACAGAGCTACTCCCCTCCTTTACGCCTCCGGATTCCGTCGGCTCTTACAAACGTAAAACCCTCAAAATCAAATCCCATACTATCTGTAGGCAGTGTCAGCCAAGTTTCTGTGACTGCGATTATATCTGGTTTGGTGGAGTCAATCTGCACACCTAGTTCAGACCGCTTCGAGAATTTGTGTAACAGATCCGGAGCATATTTAAATGGCTTCGTGCTGCACTTATAGTGCGTTCGACGTCACTTTCTGTCAAAGCCTTACAACCCGAAAATTTACAAATTTTAAGTTCTTTACGCCAGCGTCTAACCCATGTTTTAGTTCTCTTTCGGCTTCTAGTCTTTTTACAAGGTCTGCGAGTGACAAGTCTTTGCGGACCAAAATGCCTAGACCCTTTAGTTTGTCAACGTATTACAGAATTGTTTATTTTAGAGGTTAATTTACCACTACATTTTCGTTCTTCATGCATCAACTACTTTTCATGATTAGTGCGAAGTGTGACTATATGAGTTCTGCACATGTTTTGAACATTATGTTTCTATCCACCTGACCAGTTAGTATAAGTTCGAAAATTCTTCCGATTTGTGTCCTTCCATCAACTAACTTGCCTGATTTAGTCACTTTTGCAATGTGTAACCCCAATATTGTTTCTAGCAAAGCATTGCGGACAATAAGTTCTTCAAACTGAAAAGCTTGAGCATGGAGTTCGAATGAGCATAAACCCTTCGATTCTTAATACCTCATGTAATCAAGCCAATGGAAAAAGGGATATTTGAGGAATTCCGAGGAATCGCTAGACGTTGTCTCTTTTTATCTAGTAACCAGACACTTTAATTCAGTTACATATTGGGAGAAAATTATTTCACTATATCTTCTAGATTAGGTTGGATTTTGTATTTCTGCCAAATAATATATCTCCTAGCGCGAGCGCCTGCTTGAATCTACTTTTTACTCAAGTGCGTACTGGTGTTCTGTGGTCTGAGTATTTTCGTACGGATAATATTCTTTGACGGTAATCTAGAACTGATTGGGTCCTTTATAAATGCTTCACTACTATCACCTTATTTTTAGGGATCACGGTTACTTGAAAATAGTTGATGTATATGTTACATATTGCAACATGGGGACTGACAATCTGTTGTCAATATACTGAACGAAAATCTTTGATCCTGTGGAGATTTAAGTTCAGGCTATACCACCACAGGGTTTTGGCTCCTATAATTAATCACCAAAGACGCATTTCCTGAACAAGCGCTTGCCACAATGCGTTTGACAAGAAACAGTTAAAAAAATACAAAAACTACGGTAAATGGATTAACATACTATCTTCATCTCTGTTGGTTAAACACCAAAATATGAATACTAAAATACTAACGAAGCCATATGAGCGTGGCTGCTTCCGTAAATACGCAAATAAGTTTGAGAATAATTTTAGTAGACACAGTATGTTACCCGCAAATGAATGATAAATCCAGTAAGTAGTCGAAGACTTGCCAATCAGAATCTGCTATTATTTGGAATTTTATGAATGATTATTCATTGAATTATGGTACATTATCAACAAATAGTTGCTATTTGGTTCATACCTAGTCCCCCGGTATTCTCTAAAGATTGATTGGGTTAGTTTTGCTCTGTAGCTAGTTGAGTTCATTAATTGGGTATATAGTCAAAATTATTTACAATCTATCGTCTATTCTTTAATATACAATAAGTTTTGTTGATTACCCCGCGCTATACTTTCTTATGGTTAGATTTTATTTACGTACGTAGGATTTCTGAATTGCTAGCCAACGAACTAACCCTTCCGACAGTCTGCTTACTATAACTTCTGTTACAATAGACCGCTTTCATGTACGAAATACAATAATCTCATCAGTGCCTTTATCCAGTTAGTATGAATTTTCGACCCACTCTGTGTCAATTTACCGTTTGGCATATAATTGCAAGCCTAGCATCCTATTCTATATCCTAATCGCTGTTTGTTCGTAGATTTCGAATGCTTTATAAGGAACGTTATCAAATCCATCTGTTTAAATTTTCTGATGGTATGACGCGAGGTCGATGGTGGTGGGTAACAGATACTAGGTGGTGCTTACAGTGATGTCAGTCAGCTACAACGTAGGATCAGGCACATATATGCGTCGGTCCAAGTTGCCACACCTCATTAGCACAACAAGATGAACACCGAATTCATAGAAGCAGTTACTTCAGTGGTATTAATATATGAAAGAAAGATTGTGTATAAGGACATAATACAGGAAGAAAGAATTAGTTGGTAGAAAGAAAGGTATGAAGCAATTTTTATTTCACAGTTCAAGGGGAAACAGTGTATAAAATTACACCCATGAGACCGATTCTGAGCCATATCACTCAGTCTCCAAGCACTAGTTACAATAGTCACGTGGACCCCAACCAAGTAGTCTGCATCAACATGGCTAAGACCAGAGATTAGTGACTTCAAGGACTAATGTCACGTTTTGGTGTGGCCTCTATAGCATAATTGTCCCGCTATTTTATATTTTTTTCGGACAGTTCGTCCATCCGTTTTTATTTTGTAAAAAACAATAACTCAGATCTACAATTGTTCCAGACTACTTTTAGTCTATGTAGATTGTAAACTGATTACAGTCAGTGACTACAGATCGTATAGATCAATTTCTGTTTTACCAGTTTTTACTTTTGATAGAAACTAATCTCGATACTAATTCAATTCTGTGAATGCATTGCCAATCACCTAACATATAATCATTTATACTAGATGGATATACCAGAGAAATACAAGTATCTGTTCAAGTTTTTGATTATTGGAGCTTCAGGCTCTGGAAAAACATGCATTTTACGAAGATATACTGAAGGAAAATTTATACCCAATATGCCTCATACAATTGGAGCAGAATTTGGCAGTAAGATCATAAATATAGATGGGACAACTGTTAAAATCCAGATATGGGATACTGCAGGTAGTCATTTTCAGATTTGTACGTTCACACTCTTATAGTATGTTTTATCACCAAAGTACCTGTTCAATGTGAGCAAATAGTAAATACTGATTTGTATTATGTTCATATACTAAATATTTGCGTTCGATTGTTAAACTTGCTCACACTATAAATAATATTTAAAATCAAACGGATACATACTGTCAGACCTTGGACCTTGTCTGTTAGAGATATTAAATTATTTGATTTCATATATTTATTCAAACATTGGTACAAAAGACCAAATATATGTGCGCCACACAAATCAATTGATTTGTGTGAGATTTTATTTCATTTATTCATTTTATTTGAACACATAAATATTGGTGCCAAGGGGCACCAAATACATATGCACCACACAAGTCATTTGATTTGTGTGTAGGCTATGATACTGCCCGTGTGTTCAAACCGAAGCATGTGGTTTCCTTAGTGGGCCACACTCGGAGCCTTCGACATAAAGATGTGATCCACAAGGCAACTTCAAGAGATGCCGTCCCATGGTAGCCGGTGACCAATAATTGGTTCATACGACATTTGTTCCTTCAAGATTCTGGAGCTCATGTGTACCACTGGTTTAAAATCAGGGTTTTCCAACTTCCCTCTGTGGATCCTCCATATCCACCAACCCGATTAAAGCTCCGGACATTCTCTTCTTGTCTTCACAATTTCGTAAGCAACACCCGTAGGACTTCCCTGGTAATGACTGTATAGGCGTGGTCATGTGAGAACATTTCGAAAGGGAGAGCTAACTCTCCCAATCCTCGGCCGTGACAGGGCATTTGGGGGCCCTCAATGCACTCGGGTCGGACAACACTGGTATGCAAGTTTCTTCTGACGAGATTACCCCTAAAACGAAGGGAAATCGCGATGGTTGCGATGAATAATTTATTTGTTTACAGCGGTAGCCTAATGTTGGGTTTCTAGACCGATAATCCAGAACAAATAAAATGCTTCACTGGTCACCATGTGATCTGATGTAAATGTTTGTCTGAGCGCATTCAGTTAGTCAGTGTACAGCTAAGTTAACAAGATTAGCATCAATGTCAGGTACAAAACTATCTATTGTGAGCACTATTAAGTGGGGATCCGAAGACTTTATCGACTAAAGGTTTAAATCCAACGGGTTCGACATCGGTAAACTAACTTCTTACGGCTCGAAACATTTAGCGTTTGGTTTTTAATCCGTACGCTAAGAAGTTATGTGACAAATGATAAATATCGAAAGTCATGTGTATACAGGTCGACGGAGATAGGGTTACCTTTTGAATGTGAGGCTTTTAGTTTGTTGATTCTGAAGTGGAAATGTATCCGTTCAGTGTAGGATGTTTATATTTGAGATAGAGTTGTTCTACCATACGGTTAATTTGTAAGGGGTATACATTTCGGAACAGTATGGGTAAAAAGAGTTTATCTAGGGCATGGAATAATTTACTTCCGAATCAGCATCCATTGTCTGCTTTAATTGTTGATGGACAACTGCAGTGTAAAATCTATCGTTCAACGAGAGTGCGTACCATCCTTTTAGCAGTAATTTTGTTAAGCACTGCTCCTGGCAATTGTTTGGGAAAGCTCATGTATGTATGTAGATAAGTGTCTTCAATTCTGATGAGAGACTTACCGGATCAAGATGAATGCGATGAAAACGAGTGTCAGGATTTTCAGAAGAATCTAAGGGATATTGATTGTCCAACCGCCTTTGATTTTTTACCTCTTAAGTACGTTGAACGTTGTATCTGATTTAGGTGTCAAGCGACCGTCAAGTACATCGCAGAACAATCTTGCTGACCTGCAGTGAATAAGGAAATGGGCATCCCCATTTTTAAGTAAACTGAACATAAATTTCTTTTAGGTTCTTTTACAACTCATGACACTCGTTTCAACCACGTCCATCTTTGCCTTTGGGGTTATTCCGTTTGACCAATACTGTCCGACTATATTATATCCAGATCCTTATTTTGAAGTCATACAAGTGCCCAGTTTTTAACTAATAATATCGCTGGATAAGCAGTTTTAACCTAGCAATTTAGGTATATAACAACAGACCATTAAATTCTGATTGGTGTAAGATGGTTGCAGCGATAATATATCAATAGTGTCAACATATGCATATTTTTATGATTCAGATAAATAAACTGCTAATCAGTTGATGATGCTTAGCAATACAATATAGTTGACTGATAGTGACTCATAAGAGTAAATCCACTGTGAAATTAATTGAGTTTTAAATATAAGGACAGTACAGTAGTACTTTTTGATTAGCAAAACAAAACTTTATAAAAGAAAAGAATTTACATATGGTATGATGAATCAGGATGTAGTAACATTTTAAGATCAAGGGACATCCAGTCGATCAGTTTTCTGTCTGTTGCGATAGTAAGCTATTTGCGAAGTATAGATGTAATTCTTTGAGAGTCCTCACATATTCTTACGCTATATTGTATCCTCTAATTAATATTTTAATTGGAACAGTAATCTCAATTTTAATTAAAGGTCAGGAGCGTTTTCGATCAGTGGCTCGTTCATATTACCATGATGCTGTTGGAGCACTGCTAGTCTATGATATTACTAGTAGAGATTCGTTTAATGAACTAGCCTCTTGGTTGTCCGATGCACGAACTCTTGCTTCGCCTGATATCATGATTGTACTAGTTGGAAATAAAAAAGATTTACAGGTAATAAGCAAATTTTTATTTTCTATGTTTTTGGCGTTACTTAAGTAATAATCAGATCTCTCTTTTAACTAGATTGACAAATTAGCTCAGTTAAGACAAGTTACATACTACGACGGAATCATTTTATCTAACTTGTTTATTGCATCCAGATTGAATAAAAAAATAACCACTATGTAAACTACTTAAGATGTTTGACATTACTGTTAGATATATGGGAGCATTAGTCATTTGGCGGTTGTTCACGCCGTGGAAAGGTACTTATTGTGGTGCCTGACAAAGAATAGGTCAGAGATAGTCCTGACGATTGCGGACGTGACCACACAGCCAAAGTAATAACTACTTGAGTTCGGCCACACGCGGCTTTCTGTAGGTAGTGTTTGTTACATTAAATTCATACTTTCCTGACCGTCCTCATCAGTGTATGGGACTAGGTTAAATTTGCTGTCCTTAGGGTCAATTTTTTAGTCCCTCTTATTGTGGGGACTCAGGATCGCCAGAGATACCGTTTACCTTTGGGAAACATTATACCGCTATCAGACTTCAGTAAAACTATCAGTAATACTTCCTTGTGACGTAGATTTGCTGCTTTTGGTCTAATTGCTCTTGAAAGGACCACCCTAGCTTATAAGAACCTCAATGAACAAGTATCCCAACTTGGAAGAAGTGGCTTACATTGAGTCATTAAACGTCAGAAATACAATTTTATAATTATTGGGATATCGCAAAAAATTTATTATTATGTATTCCAACTGTTATGACTATTAGGTCACCACAATAAACAAACAGTCTGACGATCATTTCGAAACGATAGCGATGTTCATACCTTTTAAATCGTGTCTACTGTTTAGTTCTTCGCATTATCATTTATGCTGTTGTTATTTAAATTCTATAATGTTCAGTTTTGTTCATATCTTTTCACTACTGATATGGTATGACAACTTGATTTGGTACACATTTATGCCAGGCTCTGTGTTGATTATGAGTGACAGGATTATTGAATTCCCCAATTGAATTGGAACTCATTAACAACAAAATCCAACCGATGTTGACGCATATATCTAATTAATATAATATATTTCATCAAATCTTTTAATGAGCTTTTTAACATGACAGTATAATGTTGTTGTTTTTTATATATTGCAGGATAGTGATGGACATGTAACTAATTGGGAGGCTAGTGCATTTGCTCAAGATAATGATCTTCATTTCTTGGAAACATCAGCACTTACTGGTGAAAATGTCGAAGAAGCTTTTATTCAATGTGTTCGTAAACTTGTTTTTAAAATTAGAAATGGTGAATTAGATCCAGATCGTTTAAAATGTAATCGACACTCATCTAGTTTAACATTTATGGAACATTCAAAATTTAATTCTATCCCAAAAGTTCATGTACAAAATAATGATTCAACACTTTCATATGAATGTAATTGTTGATAAGATTTTAAACTTTTTTATTTTATCTTATGACATTAATACTACTTAATAGACATTCATCATTTGTTCTTTTATACATATATATATATGTATCAAGAAATAGAATCTTTGATTTTTAACTAACTTCATGTATGTTTCTCGTTTATTTTGTTCTCTATTTCCAATGTTTTGTGTATTCCATCCAATATCTATCAGATTAATTTTACTTATTATATTTCTATTATTCAACTTGCATTTCAATAATTGATTTCATGTATATTTCATAGATCTTCTGTTGAAAGAATTCAATCTTTTTTAAATGACAAGTTTTAATTTATTCTTTATGTCATTTTGTTGAAACATTTGATTGAATGTTATTTATTTTCATATAAAAGTTCTTTATGGCTTAAAATCTATAATTTATACATTCAGTATGCATAATTTAATGAATTTAATTGTATGATGATTCTTTTCGCTTCGGTTTCTCAGGTTTTCTTTTCTATCTTTGAGAAGCTTAGTGTAGTTATACTCTTTGTCTTATCCCTTTGAATAAATTAACAATCAGTGACTATATGCGCGTTGTTTTTGTTGGATGATATTTAACAAACCTAATCAATAATGAGATGACTTGATAGTTTTAGCTATGTAATGTAGGTACAATTTCTCTTGTATTTGGCAAGTTATTCAGGAAAGGACTTAATAAAATACTTTTAATTATGTATTTATCGTTAGTAATTCGTGTGATTTTATTATTATTTTTATGAAATCAATCAAGATGTAACATTTCTCCTCTTTTGTACTTACTTACTTACGCTTGTTACCCCTAATGGAGCATAGGCCGCCGACCAGCATTCTCTAACCCACTCTGTCCTGGGCCTTTTCTAATTCCATCCAATTCTTGTTCATTTTTCTCATGTCTATCTCCATTTCCCGGCGTAATGTGTTCTTTGTTCCTCCTCTCTTCCTTTGGCCTTGATGATTCCATGTGAGACCTTGTGTTGTGACGCAGTTGGGTGCTTTCCTCAGTGTGTGTCCTATCTACTAACAGCGCTTCTTCCTCCGCTGGGATCTGGTTTGTTCTTTCCCACAGTTGGTTGTTACTAATAGTGTCCAGCCAACGAATACAAAGTATTTTTCGTATTATATTCATATAATTTAACTCGATCAATTTTAATCCATCACTCATGCACAACATTTATTAACTTGATCAAAACTTCTATATATATACTTAATGTTATCACTTTTAGATTTGTAACTGTAGTGCTTAAAAGTTATTTAGAAAAATAATTGTTCTCTAAATATTTCATAGTGATTTTTAAATTACTTATTTGCACAGTACTCAAAATCGTTTGCAATGTCGCAGTTGCATCCACTCTGTGTTCTCTCAAATTCTAATCTTCTAAATTTTTCATGTCCTTTATTTTCTTCCCAAATTTATCTCACTGGATTGTACTCCTTGAATTACATCTTCAAACACTAATTTTTCTAATTACTGCTTATAATTTTACTACCTCTACCACTATGGGATTTGAATTGACAACTGCATCTCTGTGCTAATGTGTGGCAACTCGAACTGATGTACGTACGTACGAAGTTCTAAGTTGTTACTGACTGACTGACTGACAGTACTTAGATGATCTAATAACAAACAAGTTTCTAATGGAACTTCGAATTAAGGTATAAAAAAAGAATGAATTACTCAAGTAATTGTTGAGCAAAATCATTGTATTTAATGATATGTTTATTTACACCTCTGAGTATTACATTTACTGTTATTATTTTGTTTTGTTTTTATACAAAATATGGTTAAACACTATTGAAACTACTCATGACAATATTCAAGTAGTATGTGAATGAGTATATTTTGAAAGGAAAGAGATCATGTTATTTAATACAGCAATAATTCATGCAAAATATTGTGTACTGATTTTGTTTTAGAAAATATAATAACTTCCCAATCTGTTTGAATTAGTTGACATCATGGTAAAATAAAATTGGAAGAGTACAAGGTTTTAAACAGGAAAACAAACGGGAAGTAGCACCAGAGTTGTAGTAATGATCTTTTTGTGACTAATTCGAAAATGAATTCCTTTCACTTAAGTAAATATTTATATACACATGATTGAAGTGCGAAATTAACAAGTGATAACGGAACGCTTATTTTCAATACATTCTATATGAGTGAGTTGGAGGGATTGTCTTCGACGGAGGCCTCCATGGTCTTCTGTTTGGTTTATTTGAATGGTCGATGCTGACAACAAGATTCTCTAATGATGCAACCTTGGTTAATGACAAGAAAACAATTATTTATTATTAGTATAGCGGCTTTGTGGTGATAGTTGGGTTTTTGTGGCTTCACATAACTGATTGATCATAGACGATCATTGAAAAGCAGGAAGCGCTAAATAGATTTTTCACCTTAGTATGGGGTTCCCTGACGACATCATGGATACGCACTTCCCAGGCGTCTCAAACTTAGACAAAATAACCACTCAATGTTTCCCGGTTTTGACCGGTTGTCCAACTAAGATTAGTCCCCAGTTCAGAAATATGGAAGTTATTATTAATAATATTGTTACTTCTCAATGTAGTTTTGTTTAAAAGAGGGAAAACTATAACGCAAGTTATCTTGATCATATATTGGATTGCCCCCAATGCCATGGTACGTTCGAGAGTGGAGAGAGTCAAGTCTCCTCGAAATGCTCTCACTTGGCCCCGTACATATAACCACTGCCAGGGAAGTCCTACTCACTGCCTTCGATTTGGGCACATAGGCAGTATCCCAGCTCACACAAATTGAATGATTTATGTGGCACCTATCTATTTGGTGCCTTCTTGTACCCATGTTTGTGTTTAAATAAAAATATATCAGATTATCGAATGAAATAGTTTGATGACTATTTTGTTTGTGGTTTCTATCGCGGACTGACAACCAGAAAACTTTCTGAGCCCGATTATACACGATCTTTCTTCTGTTAGTTCTTAATGTGTTAGCTTTTCAGATTTTTGACCTTACCATTTGCATCAGAAGTCTGTTAGGCGACTACCCGCTTCAATATGGGCCCCCGGGCAGTATCACAGTCCTCACACAAATCAAATGAGATTTGTGTGCCGTATATGTATTTGGCACCCCCTTGAACCAATATCTATGTGTTCAAATAAATAAATAAGTGAAAACTGTTAGGCTACTAGGTGGTGTGTTATTTACAGAGACCAGCATTTTAACCGGTTTTAGATGCACTGTACAAATGAGTTTCAAGGAGGGGCCAGACAAATACTTTATTTTCAGACTGTATCTTGCTTCTCATTGTTCTAGTCGACATTATTCGATAAAATATATATATAAGCAGACTCTACAAACCACGATTTATTCAAAATTCCATAGAAAGCTTTATAGAATTCAATTTATTTATTCCACTGAGTTGTATTAACTAATACTTATTTCCAATGTAACGATGAATAAAAATACTCATTGAACGTCATTAATCTGAATTTTTTCTAATGTACAATTATGTCAAGGAATGACATCAGCTAGACAAATATTGCCCCCAAATGCCCTGGTACGGCCGAGAGTAGGGAGAGTCCGCTCTCTCTCTCTCTCGAAATGATCTCACATGGCCACGTGTATACAGCCACTACCAGGGAAGTCCTACTCACTGCCTTCTCGCAACACGGGTGTTGTGTACAAAATTGAGAGGACGAAAAGCGAATATCCGGTGCTTTAAGCGGGTTGGTGGATACGGAGAGTCCGCCTAGGGGGGTTGGAAAACCCTGAATTCAAACCAATGGTGCACATGAGCTCCAGTATCCTGAAGGAACAAATGGCTTATGAGTCAATTATTGGTCACCGGCTACCATGGGACTGCATCTCCTGACGTTGCCTTGTGGACCACACTTTTATGTCGAAGGCTCCGAGTGTGGCCCCCTAAGGAAACCACCTGCTTCGGTTTGGACACACGGGCAGTATCACAGCCCACACACAAATCAAATGACTTGTGTGGTGCATATGTATTTGGTGCCTTCTTGTACCAATATCTATATGTTAAAATAAATAGATAAATATTAGATAGTAGGATGCAGTTGATATATGTTTCTGTTCTAGTCGCAGAATACTTATTAATACAGAAACACGACCCTTTTGATATTAGTTTTTGATAAAAACTAACTTCAGACAGAGGAGACTTCTCAAAAACCTTTCATTCCACTAATAGTTATGACGTTACCAATGATATGGGTTCCCGAAGTTTTACATAGAAGCCATGACCATTGCAATTCAGCCATGCAAGAAGTGAGGAAAATATAAGTGGGATTAAATAATAGTTAAACAATATCGCAAGTCGACTAGAGTAACGAATATAGACCACTGTATTTTAAATCACTGATCATAATGTGTGGTTTTCACCGTGGAACCCAAGGGTCTAATTTAGATATGATGCGCGATCGTTTATACCCAATGCTTAGAAGTTCAAAAATATGACGAAATAACTATCTACTGTTGATTATTATTTTCTAACGTTCGTCGGGCTCATATCAGTTCATAATCAAAATTACTTCTTATTGGAGTAGTATCTGCACAAATACTGTATAAATACTAAACTCGGGACTTCAAATTTCAGCGTTTGATCCTGTGGATTCGTGGTAAATAATAATTGCAAGCTCCAAACTAGGACGAATTAGTTGTCCAACACTCCATAGCTTTAAATGGTTGTCAAGCTAATATCAGTTCTGGGCTCAGACAGCCTCTGATAAATGTTATTCCAAATTTTAAACAAAAATCATGATTTTGCGTAGTAGTTTGAATTTTGCTCAGATTGTTTTTCACTGCTTTCTTCCAATAGGTAGTTCGCATTTTAAGAATTCTTCGATGTTTTAACACACCGTTAAACTTTAAATGAAAAAGCTTGGACCAGATTGCCAGGCGAAACGTTGGATTTACTTCAAATTCTTTCGCTGAGATTTTACAAATATATTCTTCCTCTTTAATTGAGAAAATTAGTTGGTAATACAGTGGTTCGTATTATTTCAACTCCAAGTAGTTTGTGCTACAAGGCAATATAATCAACTGCCTGATGTGTTTATTTTAAATTTGAATCTATGGTCAAAAGGTTTTTTGTCGAACTACAGTACAACTTACAACCTATACTTTAATTGGTATCGTTTTGTGATAAGAACCAACTGTTATTTAGTTCAACAACAATGGAATGAACCTGGCTAAACGGCTACTGAAAACAAGGGAAACTTTCGTTTTAGTATGGGACTTCTTAGCAATATGTTTTTATGATTCTACTGCAGGTCGGTCGATATATTATTTAACTCATCATACCATTGGTGAGTAGATGCCTTACTCGATATACAATTGAACTCCACTGATCATGGCTTCTCAAAAGTGTTCTGGAAATCGCTTCACAAAGTTAATCATTAGTATTGAAGATGATGTGGGGACGAGGTTCTGGAGATTGCTGGATTTATTTGTGAGTGACTCAATCAACAATCTACACAAAACATCTACGCTAGTAATAATACGAGAAAATAATACCTTTTTTAATTCCCATTGATGATAAGCTTCAGCTGCTTGTTCCATTTTAATACGATTAGCTTCTTCTAGTTGTTTTTCTCTTTCACTTTGATGTTTTCTTTTGCTCTGAAGGCTTTGTTTTAATGCGGCATCTTTTTTGGCTTTCCTGTTGGGAAATTTAAATAAACAATATTCATTTTTATTCCCAAGCATTGATATATTGTCTGTATTGTTAAATGCCTTAATCCAAATGTTCAAATTAGTTATTAGTAGGCTCAATAAAATAGCACCTAATCTCAGTCAAATTATGACATTATAATAAACTAATCAGACAGATGTTCTATCTCAACTCATCAAGGTCAACGATAGCCAACGCTACGGATTCGATATGTTGGATTTGACAGTTGAGGCGTGTGGCAGCTCGACGGCACCGTCTTCATTGTACTTTATTTTTTTTTTACTCATTCAATATAAATTTGTTTAAAACTTTGGTTTATTTTTAGATTGTATTGAGGTGGTGAGAGATATTCCTCATCAGCTTATGGAGCCACCGTACAATGTTACATCTTCATTAGAATACTTAATTTAAACAACTGCGCGACCCCAATTATCTGCATTGCTAGTTAGTAATGGCAGGTGAGTAGTATATATACATGGGCACTTCATTATTCATAATCTCATACAAGTTGTTCAGTTTGAGTTAGAACGATTTGCTACTCCTTCTTGAAAGCTAATCCATTCATTTCATAATGAGTTTATCTGTGGTTGATTAGGACAGTTCTAATTTTTATTACAACCCGTTAATCAATATACTGTCAAATGTTTCCAAGGGAGTCACAGTTTTTAAATTTGTTAGTTAGTCAATTACTGAGTTAATAACGATTTCAGTAAAAAAGGTGTTTGGTCGTAATTTTAATTACAAAAGTGAAAAGTCATTAAAATATACTGATAAGTAGTACAAACATCGATTTATGACATCACACAAAGTTCTTAATTTGCAGCTAGTATAAACGTATACTTATGCAGTTGTTTTTAAGTGAACTGGGGTACAATGTAATAAATTCATTTGTTTTTCGCACAAACATGCATGTGCATTGGGTTTAATGCATAGAATGCTGTGAATGAAGCTAGCCAAGTTATTTGGTCAGTTGGAAAACATAGACGACTTAGTATTTACGTTTACAAAAAAAAATATCTAATCTGTACATACAGGAGGTCAGTCGCCGATCATACAGCATGATAAGTATATGGGTTTTTTTAAACTTTTAGTGACAAGAATTTCTTAGTCTTCCTAGACCTAATTAGTTTCTAGAATAGGAATTAGCCTTTAAGATTAGTCTATATGTGTTTTCGTTCTAATCTTAACTCTAATCTTTTGTGGGGCCCTTGAATTTTGTCGTCATTTAGATCGGATGATGTTGTCGAAAGGGCTCTCCACTTTAGTGGCCCAGGTTCTGATACCAAGGTGATTGTAATGATAATTGTTGTTGAAATATATATATCGCCTATCCTCGCATATAATCATCGACTTAAATCGCGTTAGTCAATAACGGAATTAAATAAGTCGAATAACGAGAATGGACTTGTGAATACATATATTTTGTATATAAAGCGAATGGAATAGAGAGAAGAGAAACGACGCAGTGTGGAGATGGCTGGTAAACCAACTCCCCTTTAACCAAACGTTAATCAATATTTATAGTTATACAAAAGTTACAGACATGTGATGAGTAATGGGATAAGAAATGTACACACACCTATGTGCTCATATAAAAATAGTCAAGATTGATAAGCGAATAAATAACAAGGTTAGAATGTGACTCAAGTAGAATGAATAGAATGGGCTATCCAAAAGCTAGAATAGGGTATATGGGCTTAATATAATAACCGACACTACAAATCCTAAACCCTAGCTTTAATTATCTAGTGATGTTTACCTCATTAAAATTAACCAAATTACAGTCGTTATTCAACACCTTAATGTGGAATGGTTCGATAAACATCATTCTAGACTAACACATATGCACTATGATCATGTGGTCACTTAGTCTATCCCGAGTGTTTTGGTAGTATACATTAGTTTTATCATGATCGACGATGGTAGAGAATCGAAAATTAGATTTATCAATCTCATTTTGTTTTAGATTATCAAATGTCATACAGAAAACGATTCTATCATATCTCAACACTGAAAATTAACGATGAACAAAATGACTGAACTTTACGTGTACTTGAAGTCACAAATGTCAATCAAATAGTATGATTTGTAGTACAAAATGAGACTAAAACCCCCCTTTTCAACTATGCTCCATCTAAAAAAGCAATATGTATTATAATTTATGAAATAAGAACATACACTGGTTGTGAAGAATGAACACGATAAACGTTTGAATTCGTTGAACATGTGAAGCTAAATGAAAAGTATTAACTTTGTGAATGTGAATAGGAATTTTAACAATGAGAGAGAGAGAGATGTATTAATTACTGTAACACAATGATCTATTACATGGTGACGTATTTGGCTTTAAGTTACTGTTTATTTTTAGAATTTTAGAGCTGTTTAGTGGCTCGTGGATCTAACTCCTATTTAGATCGTATAAATGTTTGTTATCGCCTATTCTCTTATATAATCGTCGACTTAAATCGCGTTAGTCAATAACGGAATTAAATAAGTCGAATAACGAGAATCGACTTGTGAATACATACATTTTGTATATGAAGCGAATGAAATAGAGCAAAGCAAAATGACACGTACGGAAGATGGCTGGGAAGCCAACTCCAATTTAGTCAGGCGTTACCCAATATTTATAGTCAGACAAAATAAAGCTACAGACATGTGATTAATGGAATAAGAAGGGCACACACATATACGCTCATATCAAAACAGTCTAGATTGATAAGCGAATAATTGACAAGGTCAAAATATGACTCAAGTAGAATGAATAGAATGGAGTGTCCGAAAGTTAGAATAAGATATATGGGCTTAAAATAATGAATGACACTACAGCTGTTATTACCATCTAGCTGTCTGAACCAAAGTATATAGGACAATGATTAAACTAGCGACTAGATATCGGATAATTTAGCAACAAAACTATTAGTGTATGAGAACTTTTTGGATAATAATGTGTGATATTCAATGTGGTAATCAGTCATAACCGACGTAGAATCTGACATATGTGTGTGTCGGTTCAAGTTGCCATATCATATCAGGTTCGTGTAATGAAATTATCAAGACAAATTTCTAGATTGATTTGAAGTAGTAACAGTACCGTAGGTAATAGAAATGATTTAGAACAGACAATATTATTCCAGAAGAGAAAATGAATTCGCATAATATATAGTATAAATGATTTTAAAGCTCAAGCTCTAAAGAAAGACAAAGATTAAATGCATCTTTGTCATTGTGACCAATTCCCAGTCAGATCACCCAAAATCTTCAACCACTAGTTACAATAATCGCGTAAACCGTAACAAGGTAAACCTCATTTATCAACAGGGTTCAGCGTAGTTTTCACTAACCTCATGAACTGATGTCAAATCTAGCATTCTTCAAGCCTACTACATCAAACAGCATCGTGCGCTGAGTTAGGCTATGGTTTGACATGCATGTTATATACTCATATAATCTCAGTTGATCAAGGTTCACTATCTCATCAACCAATTTGTCATGTTTACCTAAAAATAACGAATACCTGCTGCTTTTCTGAATAGTCTCAACTCTAATCTATGTTTGATAAAAGAACTAAACCACCCCCTATAGTGATTGATTCACCACTATCTTCCCTTCCTTTATTTTTACTTTAAATTTCCTAATATTTTATTTGGTTTGTCCAACTTGCAACCATTTTAAACATTATTCACAGTCTTGAAACTTTTATTTAATCACCATAACACCTTCATTTGTTCATTTTAGTCAAGTTTTTGTTTTTAACTTATGGTTATTATAAGTTATTTTATTATAATATCTTTGTCTAGTGAAACGTTTGACTCCTCATCAGTTAATCATGTTTCCTCATATTATTTATCCTTGTAATTAGAATTATTTTACAACCGTCTTTTAGTACTCGACTGTTGTTGCTATCTTGGCATGATGGTTGGGCTTACCTATCGTGATGAACCAGTCGACCTATACCGGCTGGAACAATCGTTCTTCAAGGTCCTGCCGTGCCAAACAGGTCAGTTGAAGAGCAGTAAGAAAAGCAGCAAACCCAAGGCCTGAGGGCGAAGTCGTACTGTTGACTGTACAGAGGTGTAACGGTAGTAAGGTGTTCCCTTCAACCAACCAGCATAATAGCGATGCTGCCCTCCCACAAGGACGGGTGAGGTTAAAAAAGGTCGATCCTAAAAATACACACCTCGCCTTATCCCACGGATATCCATCTCTGGCGGTAAGGTCTCAACAAGTATGGAGCTAGCACGAAAATTACCCACAAAAAGGTCGTGTGTGACCGACCTTAAGCAATTGTCCCTTGGGCAATGCGGTCACGCTCTCAGGTCACTATGACCACCTTTAATCCGATTTCCTTTTCAGGTACCTTTAGAAAAACCCTTCCACGGTGTGGGCAACCGGGAATTGGTAACCACCATCATACCTCTAACACCACTCAAGACTGACTGTTTTTTAGTAATTACTATCAATAATTATATTGTTTTAAATGACTATATTTAACATAATAGTTAAACATAATAAACTATACAAAGAATTCATATTAGTGATTTGTACGTTAATGAACTAGTATTATACTGATTAAGCTATCTAATATATACACATTATAGTTACATAATATACCCTTGCGTACCAGGGTAATTTTACATTGGTTTGCAGGAGAACCGGACACCATCCAGACAGTAAGGCTCAATGCCGTTTAACAGGAGAGACAGACATCATATAGGCTTTAACGCTACAAATTGAATAGTACAGTTCAATCCTGTGGTGCAACCACACAGGTACCAAGCACTCTAGTGTACCAACTATATACAAAGTCATGTTTTCTACTCGAGTATTTCTTTTTTTTTTAAAAAAAATATTATATTTACCAATCTTCAAATGCTTGTTGATTTAAATATTGTTTTTCATTTTGTTCTGTTTCTTTGGATTGTTGTTCACGTTTTTGTTTAGATAAATTTTCACGATGTTGTTTAATGATTGATTCATCTTTATGTGATTTCCATGCATTGAATGCCTTCAATGAAAAGAATGAAGATAATGTACAGATCATTTGTGCATGAGATAAATAACAGTATATTTATAAAATTCAGTTATTAACTTATTTAAAAGGGACAAAACGTTTGTGAATTGACTGTCTTTAATGGTGGAGAAGATTTGTAGCTCAGGTGGATGATTTTGATGGAGTTTTGTTCTGTGAGCTGGATGGTTTGGTCGTGGAGCTTTCATCGTTCTTCTGAACGACTGTATGTGCTCTTATCTTTGAGTAGATCTTCGGCTTTGTTGACGTATTCTTCTTTGTCCATGATTACTGTGGTGCGTCCTTTGTCCGCTGGTATTATGACAATATCCTTTCTATTTCTGAGTTCTTTCAAGGCCTTTTGTTCTTGTGGAGTCAGTTGGTTGTTTTCTTTCACCTGTTGAGTTATCGGTACTATAGTTTTCCTTATTTCCTGTTGTGTTTCTTCACTGATTCCGGAAGTTTTGAGTGATGACTCTAGTGCTGCGAAGAACTGTAGCTTTGAGGCGTCGCTTGTATTGTAGTTTAATCCTTTTTGGAGCAGGTGTTCTTCCGTATTTGTTAGTGGTTGTTTTGACAGATTGATCACGCAGTTGTTTGTGTTTTCTTCCATGGGTGGTTTGGAGATCTTAATTAGTTTTCTCTTTAAGGTGTTTCTTCTTTGTTCTCTATGTCGTTTGCATGATATCTCGATGGCTGTTGTCACGATGTCTAAATGTTCTGATGCGATCATCCTTTGTAGCTTTATCTTTTGGTCGTTCAGAAGAACGATGAAAGCTCCACGACCAAACCATCCAGCTCAGAGAACAAAACTCCATCAAAAACTGTCTTTAATGTTTGTTTGTTTTTATATCGGAGTGAATATAAACTCTGGGATGTAGGAGGTATATCCAGCTGATAAGTTTCAAATAAGGCAAAATGCACGTCCTGGATTCTATTGCTAGCCGCTATCCATGTCTGCTAAAAATATATACAGATTGATTTTTATAGTGACTTCAATAAAGTTGCTAAAGTGGTGCATTTTTTCTACTACTTTTAGGATAGGTGATTTGTGGGGGGTTCATTCTCAATCATTTTTATCTAATAGAAAACTATTGAAAAAAGAAAATACTGAATAGTTGTTCTGTTTCAGTTTGAGTCTATTTATTGATGAAGATCGACTGAACTTAAGACCTTCATGTATTGTAGTGAGTATAGTGTCAGTAGGTCGTTGAGTTGGCATCTAATGATATATATTTCCAAATTCAGTCAATTAGCTATATTGTACAACTGTTTTTCATTGTCATCTGTTGATAGCCGTTTTAACTTTGACATAATAGGATTTATTCGGTTACAATTTCTTGTTAGGACTTAGGAAATTCTTTGCAGATTCAGTCACTATAGGTGACCAACCGATTGTTTTAGTTAGGCTGTCAAGTTTCAAGAGATGATGATAGCTAAAATAACAGGGAAACGTTTTCTAGACAACTAATGGTGATCAGAGAAAATTGGAAAATTGTTTCATTACAGTTTGAACATCCTCAGCAAAGTGTATCCACAATCTTCTTCCAATCACAATAAATATATGTTAGCTTTAGTCTACTGAGCTGACATGCGGCGGTCCATATTATCAGCCATTCAGTAGTTTTAATAATTCTCTTTTTGATGTACAAAATATCAATAAAACCCTGGAATATTAGTAAGCAACAGTCATAAACGCCCTGAATCCATGTTTCATATCTTCAAGTACCTGTTAATTTCAGCTAATCATCACTGGGTTTTTTTAAGAAAGTAAAGCCTAAGGTTTTTAACTAATCGTTTTCAACCATGAAACAAAGTAAACTGCCATATCATATTACTTTATTGACAGACAGCGTTGCAAACGTTGTTGACCGAACATGATGGGCACAAAAAACTACGCATAGTAAAATTATTGAATACCAGATTTCCCCCCATCTTCTTTAAAAAACGCTCAAAGTCAAAAGGATTAAACTGTGAATTATTAACATCCTAACTAGAAACCACACCAAAGTTACTAATTGCCTTTTAAATAATCCGCATTTAATATAAAAACCTATATTATAATCAAACTGATGAAATCTTAGTCTAGTTCGAATGCTGTCTACTGAGTTGCAATGTTCCCACTAGTCTAAGCTGTTTGATGTTGAGCTCATGTAACCACGACTCAGAGTCTAAGATAAGGTATTCGAGATGCGTCTTGCTGTAGATTGTAAAGCTGAGTAGTGTAGGTTCAGATCCCATAAGGAACATTATTTCCCTCAAGATTGGAGATACGATTTGCTGACGAGTACCCAATAAGACAGAGCTTAGACTCACTATTTGCTGTTGACTAAACCCAACTACCTAACATACATATAATCGACTTCACCATTAGAAGCGCACTAAATAATCATACCTTTTGTGAGTTCAGTTTACGTTCCTGTTCTTCTTCAAGCTTCTTTTTCTGTGCCGATTCTTCTGCTTTACGTCTTTTAATTGCATCAATTAAAAGTTGATGTTTACTTTGCTTCCATGCTTGAAAACACATTTCATTTGATTTCATTCTTTCCAATTTCTATATTTTTAAAAAAAAATATATAAATCAAATTTAAAAAATTGAAGGTTTACAATCACAATTGATTGATCACTGGGTGGTGATCAATGTCATGCTTGTCTAGTCCTTATTAGTGCAGATTGAATGCTATCGATCATGTTGCAATGTGGTCACCAGTCTAGGTGACTCGACACTGCGGGCACTATGTATTGAGATTTAGATGGTAGTTGGAGGTAGTCAACAGGAAACCCTGGACCCGGGTTTCGTGGTACTTGGCACTCGTCAGCAAGGTGTACCTGTAATCTTGAGGGAACTGGTGCTCCCTGGCGGATTCGATCTTGTGTCACCCAGCTTCACAGTCAGAGACGTTACCACTGAGCTATCCGAGCCGTGACTAACCTCCTGTAGGACTGAGATGTAATCACAATTGATTGATCACTGGGTGGTGATCAATGTCATGCTTGTCTAGTCCTTATTAGTGCAGATCGAATGCTATCGATCATGTTGCAATGTGGCCACCAGTCTAGGTGACTCGAATCCGCCAGGGAGCACCAGTTCCCTCAAGATTACAGGTACACCTTGCTGACGAGTGCCAAGTACCACGAAACCCGGGTCCAGGGTTTCCTGTTGACTACCTCCAACCACCATCTAAATCTCAAGGTTTACAATCAAACAATTTTATCTAACAGTATGTTGTTTGTAAATATACAAGCTATTCTGAACAATAATCTAAAAAGTTTGCGGTTATCCATTCACATTTTTATATTTTGTATGAGTGCGATATTCTACATCCTCTGGCATATTTTCGTTTAGTTAATGGGTGAGTACCACGTATATGACTGATACAGATGTAAAGGCGTGGATCGGAAAAGCAAGAGTAGCATATTTACAATTGAAGAACATCTGCAACTCAAAACAACTGTCTGTCAACCAACATCAAAGTCAGAATTTCCAATACGAATGTCAAGATAGTTCTACTGTCTGTATGGGGTAGAAACTTGGAAAACTACGAATCCCATCATCCAGAAGATACAAGTGTTTATTAGCAATTGTCCACAGAAAACACTTTGCATCCGTTGGCCAAACACTATCATCGACAATCTACTGTGGAAGAGAACAAATCAGATTCCGACGGAGAACGAAGTCAGGAAGAAGCACTGGAAGTGGATAGGACACACATTGAGGAAAGCGCCCAACTGCATCACAAGACAAGCCCTCACTTGGAATCCTCAAGGCCAAATGAGAAGAGGAAGACCAAAGAACACAAAAATCGGATGAAATCCTCAATGAAGTTTACATTCTGATATGCTTTACTAACTCAGTAAATAACTTACTTACTTACTTACTTACGCCTGTTACTCCTCGTGAAGGAGCATAGGCCGCTCACCAGCATTCTCCATCCAACCCTGTCCTGGGCAATCCTTTCTAGCTCCGTCCAGTTGTAATTCATCGTTTTCATATCTGCTTCTATTATCCGACGCAATGTGTTCTTTGGCCTTCCTCTTTTTCGCTTCCCTTCAGAATTCCAAGTTAGGGCTTGCCTCGTGATGCAGTTTGACGATTTGCGCTATGTACGTCCTATCCATTTCCATCGTCTTTTCCTAATTTCTTCTTCAGCTGGAAGTTGGTTTGTTCTCTCCCACAGAAGGCTATTGCTGATGGTATCCGACCAATGTATGTTGAGTATCTTGCGTAGACAGCTATTTATAAATACTTGTACTTTCTTGATTGTGGTTGTTGTAGTTCTCCAAGTTTCAGCTCCATACAGTAGAACTGCCTTGACGTTCGTATTGAAGATTCTTACTTTGATATTGGTTGAAAGTTGTTTTGAGTTCCATATGTTCTTCAATTGTAGGAAAGCGGCCCTTGCTTTGCCGATCCCCGCCTTTACGTCTGCATCGGATCCTCCTTGCTCATCGATGATGCTTCCCAGGTATGTGAAGGACTCAATAAATAAACAGGAAACTAAATGAAAATACTGGAAATCATATGCCTATTGAATTTCAGAAAATTGTTGACTAACCCCACACTGAAAATATACGTATTTTAAGATCATATAATTTTATTCACTTGAGACATGGATTTAATATCCCTTTTAAATGAAAAGTACTTTATCAATCATGCGGCCTTTGCTCCATTAGGAGTAACAAGCGTAAGTAAGTAAGTAACTTTATCAATCAAGGATTAGATAAACTATATACACTTTTCATCATCATATCTTTATATTTCCAAAATAAAACAGACATGAAAGGACATAAATGTTTAACGAAACATTTCCACATAAAGAGTTATGGAAGTTAATTAATATGAAAATTGAGGATTGACTGAAGTTATTGAAAATTGAATTTGTAGGGGTTCTCTTAGGTCGATCTCAGGGTTTATTCTAATAGATCTTAGGGATATCTTTCTTAAATCATGTTACAAATGATCATAATTTACGGTAACGTTTAATTTTGAGTCAGTCAGTCAGTCAGCTACAACGTAGGACCAGGCACATATGTGCATCGGTCCAGGTTGCCATACCGCATCAGCACAACAAGATGAACACCGGATTCACAGCAGTGGTTAGGTCAAAGGTGGTAATATATAGGAGAAAGATTGCATATAGAGATATAGTACAAGAAGAAAGAATTGGTTCGTAGAAGGAGTTTACCGGGAAACCAAACAATTGTTCGAGTTTAATCGTATACACGTTTAAAAATATGTTTTCACCCATGATATGTAAGTAATTTGTTCTTTGTTTAGTTGCGATTAGGCTTATTCAATTTATTGATGGAATATTGTTATCAGTATAGGAGTTGTGGAGATTATTAAGTTTTTGATTGAGATCATGGTGCGCACTGCCGAGGAGTCCCACAATAGGACGAAACGACCGTCCAGTGCTTCCAAATTTTCAATGGTAGTCTAACATCAATCAGTTCATGATCTCAATCAAGAATATTGTTCTGTCGGGAAGCTGTAAGTAATCTTCAAGAAACCTCTGTCGAATAAAATTTCGTGTTAATTTACATTCATTAAAAACACATATATGCGATATTTTGGGTACTTTTTATCCCTTATGGGACTTCAATTTAATACGTATCAGAATTGTTAACACTCAACTATTAGCGACCTAGTTAACATCCAGTAAGACTGAAAAAATTTACTCTGATTAGAAGCTGAATATTAACCAATAAAATTTCGTGGATCGGTTGAAGTTAGACATTAAAACCGTCTAATGCCGGCTGGCTTAGTGGTCTAAAGGTTAAGCGCTCACGTGCGAGACTGATAGGTCCTATGTTTGAATGTTGCGAGTCGGGATCGTTGATGCGCACCTCCGAGGAGCCTCGTACTAGGACGAAACGGTCATCCAGTGCTTCCAGGTTTTCCATGGTGGTCTAGCTTCAATTGACTCATGATTTCAACTACTGAAATTTCTGAAATCTTCACAAACTACCTTCTGATAATACAATATTTGTTTAGTCCTTTAGTATTATTTGAATTCAGTCGGTCAAATTTAGTTAACTCGTTAATGTATACACCATATTTTGTTATTACTTAATTAGAGGTAATCATTCATGAGACGGATAGGTCATGGGTTCAAATCCCGTGAGGCGGGGTCGTGGATGCGCACTGACGAGGAGTCCCGCAATAGGACGAGTTGCCCGTCGAGTGCTTCCAGATTTTTCATGGTGGTGGTCTAGCTTCAATTGACTCATGATCTCAACTGTATAAAATTTAAATAAATAATCAAAATATAAAATAATTATGTTTTACCTCTTTCTCCTTTTTTGTTTCATCAATTTCATTACGTAAATTTGATATACGTTCAATACGTGCACTTTTAACTAAACGATTTCTCCAAGATTGATAAGCTAAATCACGTAGAACAACTGCATTTAATGGATATTCATTATTATTATTATTATTATTTTGATATTTATGATGTGCAGATTTGTTGGATGCTTTTTGATTAGTTAAATGATATAAACTATTTGATCGTTTAATTGATGATAATCTTGGTGATGATTTTAGACTATCATTTGATTGACAAGTTGATTTTATAATTATATCAGTAGTTTGTGTATTATTATTATTATTATTAATTATATTTTGTTGTTCTTTCGAAGTAATCACCAATGTGTTACCAAGTGATTGATCATTTGGATCAGTCAAAGTAATATCATAAGTTGTTGGTTGGCTTGATGAAAAAGATGAGATAGGAAAAAATACATAATATAGATTGTAGCGAATTTATTTATGCATTGTTATGACTGTGAAAAATAATGCTGCGGATTAAGGGGTAGCGAATATATTGATCGGACCAAAGACGCACAAACACGTAGAAAGACCTAGGGTTCTGATTGGTCCTGCTTCCCTGTCCAGCCCAGCCAGTTGAGTCCAGAACACAAACCACAGCCTCGGAGATATGAATCATATTTCAAACATACTTTGTTTATATACCAGTCAAGCATACCACAGCGTACCATAAAAATAGAAAACAACATTTTGTACAAGTGAACAGATATCGACCAATAGGAAATCCCATTTAAAGTCCAAGGACACCATTGGACTTAACATGATAATTATTGGTCTATTCCTGCGCATTCACAACATCTCCCCTTTTTTTTGAAGATCCGGAGTTGATATCCGGATTTTGAAATTTTCTGGGTTCATCCTCCCCCAAGAAATAACGTTGGGTCCTCATATACCCAAGCAACAGTTAGTCTGATTCGAATTAAAGCATATTTCGCGCATTGAGTAGAGGGTTCACTAAGACTGACTAGATGATGAGGATTAGCGACACCAGACATGAGGTCATTAGGGTTTGATTCTTGTGCAACATATTCTTCAGACCTCTTCAAAATTCTATTTACTGGATAATAGGTCACTAAAACAAACAGCATCTTTGAAATTCGTATTAGATTTCTGACCATTATTTGATGCACGGGAAACATTTTCTGACACGAGAGGTTCTTCTTGTAAGCTGGATACTTCACATCTTTCAGGCACAGTGGGATTTGAACCCACAACAGGGAATGTTTCTGAATTTGACATTTCTGAACAACTGGGCGGATCATGAATGATTGTCTCGTTTACATCACTGGTCGTCCGGGATTCACAGAGGCTTTTATAGGCAGCTTCATATGTTCTGCAGTTGTTTTTCAGCTCAGTCTTCAGATGAGAAATGAAATTACCAACTTCTGTTGCATTTCCGAAACATGGAAAATTTACCAACAGTGTGCGTAAATTTTCTAAAAAATTCAACTGGCTATTTTTGAAGCACTGCTGTTGTTGCTCAAGTAGAAGCTGTAATTGATCGGAACAGGTAGTCATTTTTTTTCAGCACCAGCAATGAAAGTTAACTGTAGGAATAATGACCAATGTTGCTCAAGGACGCTGGTGACAATCTGGATGCTGATTGGTCGAAACAATTATTGGTCTATCCCTGCGCATCCACAACATGCATACCCTAGAAACTAGTGCAATCGCAAAGAGTTTATGTCCACCAAAGTTATGGTTAAGGTATGTTGACGATATTTTTATTATCAATAAACGAGATGGTATGGAAGAACTATTTAACTATGTAAACAGCATTTCTGAAAACATTAAACTAACTAAGGAATTAGAATCAGTTGACCACAAACTAGCATTTCTAGATTGTTTGGTTGAACGTCGACGCAATAATAAGAAGTTAAAAATAAATGTTTACAGAAAATCAACGCATTCCGAGAGATACTTGGATTTTAATTCAGCCCATTCACAGAGCACGAAAATTAATGTAGTGAAAAATCTAATGAACAGAAGTACTAAGATTGTTACAGACAAGGAAGACCAACGAACCGAATTAAATAAAGTATTTTCTACTCTTAGGGATAACAACTACCCAAAAAGGTTTTTAAAAAAGATTATTAAAAATAAAAGAAAACCTAAACTAGAAAGTATACGAAAAGAATGGAAGTACACCGCAGTCATACCTTACCGTAGTGAAACATCGGAAGAAATCAAACGGCTTCTGAACAAACATGATATAAGAGTGTATTTTAGAGCGAATAACACATTAAGATCGACATTAGTGAAAGTTAAGGACAAATTAGCAAAGGAAGAACAACAGAACATTGTGTATGAGATTCGCTGTCATGACTGTAATGCTACCTATGTTGGAGAAACATCCAGGCAACTGAATGTAAGATTGAAGGAACACAAACAATGCTTGAAAAATGTTCCAAAATCCTCAGTCGATTTAAAGAAACTTGAAAATAAGTCAGTGATAGCGTTACATGCGTTAGAAACAGGGCACAAGATTAATTTCGAAGGGACCAAAACACTTCAGAAAGGTTTTAACACCCATAAAGAAAGATTGACAGCAGAAGCGCTGCATATATGGGCGAACAAGAACAGCCTGAACCGAAAAGATGGTATTCAACTGGCAACTACATGGCAAATTTCGTTTGACAAGTAAATTTGGAACCTATCTCTTGTTTAAACCTGTTTTTAATATCACATGCATCGTTATTATTATTGAAAGAACTGAATGAGTTTCTAAACAGTACAATTTATGTTTTGACATGCACATCGATCTTTCATTATCAAGTTTTTCATCCTTGAACTTGAACTTTATTTATTCCTTCATATCAATCTCTTACACATACATACATACCTGCACACTCACACACATACGATTTGTTACTCAGTTAATTATTTCTATGTAGTTGAATTCTTCACATGATTTGTAGTTAACTGACCCATTTGATCCTATTTTACAAAAAAATCAACACCCAAATATGATTGGTTTAACACAGTATAATCCTGATTGTTAAAAGCTATATATATATATATATCTTTGATAATTTTGATTTTGATTATTACCCTGAAGAAGTGCAGACAAGTTAGCTGGACGAAACGTTGGAATTAATTATATTTCAATCGCTGAGAATATTTCAAATATAATTTTCACATATAGTAGATGACTGATTGTTTCATGGTCAATTTGGAAAATACAGTACTTCGATCAATAATTGAGAGATTTCATTTATATAACATAGATGAGTTTAATATTTAGTTGATCTAAAGTAATATAGAACCCGATGTATATGTGCATCAGTTCAAGTTATTATATCATATCAACATAGTGAAATGAAAGTATAAATATAAGTCCCAGAGTAGTAGAAATGGTAACAGTATGAGTACTAACAAAAAATGATTAAGAATAGCCAATATTATTCAAGAGGAAAGAATTAATTTGTGGAACAAAATGTTCAAAATCATTTTAAAACTCAAAATCTAAGGAAAGATAAAGAGAAAATGCATTTACTCTATTGTGAACTCATATGATGGATTACACTGCAAAATCGTGCATGGAGGACAGTTGACAAAGTCGTTCAAAGTGAAGACCGGTGTTAGGCAAGGTTGCTTACTCTCACCCTTTCTCTTTCTCCTGGTGATCGACTGGATCATGAAGACGTCAACGTCTGAAGGAAAGCGCGGGATACAATGGACATCTAGGATGCAGTTGGATGATCTAGACTTCGCAGACGATCTGGCCCTTCTATCCCAAACGCAACAACAGATGCAGGAGAAGACAAACAGTGTGGCAGCAGCCTCAGCAGCAATAGGTCTCAATATACACAAAGGGAAAAGCAGGATTCTCCGATACAACACAGAATGCACCAATCCAATCAAAATTGACGGAGAAGATTTGGAAGATGTAAAAACCTTTACGTATTTGGGCAGCATCATTGATGAACAGGGTGGATCTGATGCAGATGTGAGGGCACGGATCGGCAAAGCAAGAGCAGCATATTTACAACTGAGGAACATCTGGAACTCAAAGCAACTGTCAACCAACACCAAGGTCAGGATTTTCAATACAAATGTCAAGACAGTTCTACTGTATGGGGCAGAAACCTGGAGAACTACAAAAGCTATCATCCAGAAAATACAGGTGTTTATTAACAGTTGTTTACGCAAAATACTTCAGATCCATTGGCCGGACACTATTAGCAACAACGTACTGTGGGAGAGAACAAACCAGATCCCAGTGGAGGAAGAAATCAGGAAGAAGCGCTGGAAGTGGATAGGACACACATTGAGGAAAGCACCCAACTGCGTCACAAGACAAGCCCTCACATGGAATCCTGAAGGTCAAAGGAAAAGAGGAAGACCAAAGAACACATTACGCCGAGAAATGGAAATAGACATGAGAAAAATGAACAAGAATTGGATGGAACTAGAAAAGAAGGCGGAGGACAGAGTGGGTTGGAGAATGCTGGTCAGCGGCCTATGCTCCATTGGGAGTAACAGGCGTAAGTAAGTAAGTAAGATCGGTTTTAAACATTAATGACATCTCCAACACTTGGTTTCAATCCTCGTGAATACCACAATCCGGTAATCCGGACCTATATACACGGTTCAGTCAACTAGCCAATCTACTGTTAAATCAGTAAAGACCGCCCTCTGAAATAGGCAGTGGTTAGGTTTATAAAGATTCATCAAATCATCAACTGACTTTAAAAGGGAAGGTAAACCAATTAATTTGTGCACGATATATATCTTAGAAATGAATGAATAATTAAGAAGCTAACAGAAAGGGATCACAGTATTTTCATGGCATACCATTACTACTATGATCAATGAATCTCAAATTTCTAGGAGGAAATCTTTGTAATGAAAGAAATATTTCTCCTGACCGAATAGTTAGACTGTTATTAAAACAGTTTATTTGGTTCGAACCTCTGATTTTTATCGGTGAATAAAGGAAATTGATTCCTCATTCCACCTGATCCTAGTCTCAATTCAATTCTTTATTTGGTAACACATAGGTGAGAATGGGATATAACTCAATTCAAAGAGAATGGAGGGAGGGAGTGACACAGACTACAAGTAAAGATCCAGTTCACATCCAAATATTAATTTTTAAATATTATCTCAATACAGTCCATTTATATGCATATTTACGTTATAGTGCTTTTTGATCAAATTTAAAATAACTATCGCTTTAATATATAGCAATGCTGCAGTAATCCAGTAATTGAAATTGTCAACATGCTGCCGAATATTATACAGAATAAATATCATGGTAAAATAAAATCGATTGTCTTAATTTTGATCCCTTCATAACCTGATCATTTAAACTGAACTAATGAGAAGATTTAGGTTTGATGATAATCATCCTTTTTATCACTGTCCAATAAAAGTGCAATATCTATTATTTACGAGTATTTTGTTTCGTTAATTTTGTGGTTGAGTACTGCATATAAAAACATTTATTTATTTATTTTAACACATAGATATTGGTACAAGGAGGCACCAAATACATATGCACCATACAAATATCATTTGATATGTGTGAGGGCTGTGATACTGCTCGGGTGTTCGAACCGAGGCAGGTGGTTTTTTTAGAGAGCCACACTCGGAGCCTTCGACCTGAAGGTCTGATCCACAAGGAAGTGGAGCATCGTAAGGAGATGCAGTCCCATGGTAGCCGTAGACCAACGACTGGTTCATACGCTATTTGTTCCTTCAGGATACTGGAGCCCATGTGCATCATTGGTTTGAAATCAGGGTTTTCCAACTCCCCTAGGTAGACTTTCCGTATCCACCAACCCGGTTAAAGCGCCGGACGTTCACTTTATATCCTATCATTTTCGTAAACAACACCCTTATTTCGAGAAGGCAGTGAGTAGAACTTTCTTGGTAGTGGCTATATACGCGTGGCCATATGAGAGCATTTGGAGAGGGAGAGCGGACTGTCTCCACTCTCGGTCTTACCAGTGTATTTGGGAGCGAAATGCCTACAGAACGAGGCCTCACCGAGACTCGAACTCGGGTCGCTGGATTCAGAGTCCTGTGTGTTAAGAACATAGTTTTCACTAAAAATTTCATTTCCATCCTCTCGAGTTATCTATATCTGTCCTCTATGAACATGCTACTGTAGTGCATTCTGAATTACAGAATGACGAAAGCAAATGTATGAAAAGTTAGGGCTTGGAATGAAATCTTCAGTAAAAACTATGGTCTTATATGTAGCACTCACCCATTAACTGGATGGAAAAACACTTGATAATGTTTAATACTGCAAACACATTGAACACTGAAAAACATATACGCTACGAATTCTATTTGATGATATCTAAAATGGTATTAAAAGTTTCATAACTGAACTATCGTGCTTTCAGGCTGGAAAACACATCACTAGCAAACCATTCATATTAGCTACATATTTTTTCTGTTATTTTGAGATTGCAAATCAACAAATGTACACATGGTTAAACCATAGCAAAGCTTCAGAGTGTTATTTAACATAGTAGTCTAAAAGTTAACACCCTGTTTATTAGATCTGAAAATTTCTAGCTTTACTCCTATGGGATTTAAGAGGACATTTATAGGAAAAGTACAAAACTAAAGGTAATGAGTACTTCAATACACAAACGCAACAATAAGTGCAAGAGAAAACGACCAGTGTAATAGCAGTCTCAGCAGCAGTAGGTCCCAATATATACAAAGAGAAAAGCAAGATTCTCCGATACAACACATCATGCATCAATCCAGTCACAACCGACGGAGAAGATATGAAAGATGTGAAAACCTTTACATACCATTGATGAACACGGTAAGTCTGATGCAGATGTGAAGGTGCGGATCGGCAAAGCAAGAGCAGCATATTTACAACTGAGGAGCATCTGGAACTCAAAACAATTGGCACCAACACAACGGTAGGATTTTCAATACAAATGTCAAGACAGTTCTACTGTATGGGACGGAAACCTGGAGAACTACGAAAGCCATCATCCTGAAGATACAAGTGTTTATTAACAGTTGTCTAGATAGAATACTCCGGATCCGTTGGTCGGACACTATTAGCAACAATCAACTGTGGTAAAGAATAATCCAGATCCCAGCGGAGGAAGAAGTCAGGAAGAAGAGCTGGAAGTGGATAGGACACACATTGAGGAAATCACCCAACTGCGTCACAAGACAAGGCCTCACATGGAATCCTCAAAGCCAAAGGAAAAGAGGAGGAACAAAGAACACATTACGCCGGGAAATGGAGATAGACATGAGAAAAATAAACAAGAATGGGATGGAATTAGAAACGAAGGCCTAGGACAGAGTGTGTTGGAGAATGCTGGTCGGCGGCCTATGCTCCATTAGGAGTAGCAGGCGTAAGTAAGTAATTATTGTTATATTCTAAAACTATAATGTTTTAATTCGATATTTTCATCTGTAAATAAGTAAAAACTATACCGTCTAAAGATCTCTTTCACACTATTATTAGTCTTTTAAAAGCTAGATGTTGGATGGTATCACACATTGTTAATAAGCATAAGTTATTTCAAATCAATAAATATTCTGAAACGTTCAAATAAGACATAGTATTCGTGTTAAAATGAATCCAATGATAAGAACAATATTTAGCTTACTTTGAACTAAGAATATGTCTTCTAGTGCGTATAGTGGGTTTTATAACAGGTTCTATATCGTCTGACAGTCTTGCCTTATCATTTTCCTTTCTAAAAGTGAAATGGATCACACCATAGAACTGTATAACATCATTTAAAGTTTAATAACGTTTGATTTAAATTTAGTACTCAAAAAGAACAATGGTGATGAAATATAATGAAATGTTCAAATATACTGTAAATCAACATCACCGAACAAGATATTATAAGTAGTGCATATTACAGTCTCTATGGTTCTATTGTAATTTTAATTTTTCTATTTAGTTCAATAATAACGACAAGCACGAAAGCTATTTAGCCAATGACTTCCAAAAGCATAGACGTTTAGGAGTAGTCAGTGATTCATACTTTGAATAAAATGGATGCTAGAATATCTTGAGATAGTATAGTCAGTATTCGTCAACTACAAAGCTGCTCATCATTGAGTAAGCAAAGAGTCACATACATATTCGCTATCGAATGTTGATACTGCTATGAAAAATTGAATGTTGATTAAATTAACAAGTTTAGTTAACTTCTTTATCGTTTTCTCAGAAAAGCTAAGCTCATTATCACTAGTTAACAAAAGCGAGCCAATAAGTAAGCCATTTATGGCCACCCTAGATAATGTTCAATTTTTAATTTATTAATAAGACTTTGGTTTTGATTGATTAACCCTTTAAATAGAAATCTCAGTAATGAAGTCTAAAAATATCTCGCTGTTCACCGTCTTATTATTAATAACGACAAATATCTTCACATTATCATTATTATTATGTGGCGCATATGTATCTGGCTCCCCTTTGTACCAATATTTATGTGTCCAGATAAATAAATGAATAATGTGTAGGAGGAACACAGGGGAATTCTGATTTACATAATATTTTATTGATCGAGTTTCCACTGATCGCTAAATTCTAAAATGATATTATAATCCTCAACACTTTGTTACAACCACATATTTTTAAATTCTGAAGATAATCAACTGGGACTGGGATGTTTTCGATCCATGAATTCATACCTAAATAGTTGTGTAACGTATTTAAAGATTCATTAAAAAATTGATCTGAGACAGTCAGAGTATCGCCATGAACAAAATATATGAGCAAATAGATCACCAGCTGTTTTCATTTCACAAGCAGAATGTGATCATTATTGATGAATAAAACAATTGTCCAAAAGTTTATTCATTCATGTCTTCAAATAACCTTATGCATGCGTAGAAACTGGTCGTAATAACTAAAATTACAAATTGAAGTCAAAATTTATCACTCACTCAAGCGGCCGAAAATGAAAACATTGTTTGCATTTAAGCACAAAACTTATACGCTCCGACAAACACTGTCAACTGCTTCTTACTTCTTTAGATAATTGTGTAGTGCAAGGCGATTGTAAATATTCATATATTACAGAAGCTGTTACAGACTGAGAGTTCGGTCAATCAACCTTTCAGAAATGCATCTTATCTATTTCTTTTATATTTGGTGTCTTTTTGCCTTGACAAGTGATAATATTCTTTGAAATTGCAAAGACTATTTGCTTTTTGTGGTAACATGCTGTACATGAACGTTTATAGAAAAACATGCGATTATAATCAAACTTATTTTAAATTGGATCGCGATAAGATCAAGTATTAAAAGTTAACAAATACGTGGGCAAAAATCAAGCTGAAATTGATCAATGCTTACTAAACTTACTCTTTAGTTTCATTGAATGTAATGCTACTATCTTTCAGATTATTATTACTTGTCGGTGCAACACTTGTTTCATTTGTCCGATGAAATAATTTACGTTGTGAATTACTGTCTGGTTTTTCACTCTTCTCACTTAGCTTCTTGTCACTATTTTCTATTCCAAAACATTCCGCCTTTAGATATTCATCGTCAGATATTTGGTTATTTTCACTCGTCTTTGAATCATCTAATACAACAAAAACTTGTTCAGATTCCATTTTATGAAGTTATACGGTTGACTTTAGAGCAAACCATTTGACATTTATTTAAATACTGAATTTCAACCTGTAATGGCTTAATATATCCATCGTAGGCAGAGCAATTTTTCATCTTAATTTTATCATTACTAACGCTTCGTTAGTTAGATAGATATTTCCTTAGTTTGACGGAATAACTATTTTTAAAGGTACGTGACAAGAGTTTGTATAATAATGGTTTATTCTATTGTAAAATTGCCAATTAAGAGTTTTGGAAATCTTTGACTCTCATAACTACACCATAGAGTGATTTTAGTGATACAACTATTAAAAACAGAACAGCTGGTTTGTCCTAGCACGGAGATCTCTACCGCTTTATTCACTTATTTAAACACATAAATATTGGTACAAAGGAAGACCGAATACATCTGCACCACACTATTGTGAGCCGTGATACTGTTCGGGTGTCCAGACCGAGGCAAATGGTTTTCTTGGAGGACCACACTCGGAGCCTTCGACATAAAGGTGTGATCCACAAGGCAACGTCAGGAGATGCCATCTCATGGTAGCCGATGACCAATAATTGATTCATACGTCATTTGTTCCTCCAAGATTCTGGAGTTCATGTGTACCATTGGTTTGAAATCAGGGTTTTCCAACTCCCCTCTATAGACCCTCTGTATCCACCAACCCGATTAAAGCTCCGGACATTCGCTTTTCGTCCTTTCAATTTCGTAAAGAACACCCTCGTCGAGAGAAGACACTGCTGGTTCACAACCCTAACGAGAGTTGGACCCAGAATCTACAGGTCTCTCTGAGAATAAAAACTTTGATGCGATACGCGAACGGAATGCGTGTCTGAGCTTTTTGAAACTCAATTGTTGCTTAACCACAGCTAGTCCATGATGGAAACAACGATGCTAAATTTGGTTAGTCTTTGGGCCATAGGGTTAAATAATGGTCATTTTTCGTTCAATGATTCGGTGATTTTTTTTGCGTAAAACATTTCACAATAAAATGTTCTTCAAACATAACGAAATTTAAATTCACGGTTTTGGGAATATGAATCATAATGTTTCAACTACAGACTTTTTCAGTTATCAGAGGCTTTAAATATTCGCCACAAGACACGTCAACAGGATCCTTTTGAAATGCTTTTAAATTGACTTAGACGAAATGGCAAATCATCACCTTCATAACTCATTCAAAGTGTTCAGTTTGAACGTAGTTGACTGGATTCCTCAACATAAAACCAATAGCTAAACTTCATCTTGAGGACTATTTAAAAATTTGGAAGTTCCATAACAAGAAAACCAGATTAAGAAACCGAAACATCACTTTTTCTAACGAACGGACGAACGTCTAATTCTTTTTCATTGATTATTACTTATTACGAGTATGTATAAACGAAGAAGCTTATATATATGCTTTGTATGGTGATTTCAGTCGAAATTAGTTCCTGATCCATACCTGAACTTTAGGAGCTTCGAAGTTTGGCATGAAGACACAAAGTTTTTAAAACTAAAGGATTTACCTGGAGAACTCAGTTGTTCATTTCCATCTCCAGAAGTCATTTGAACAACCGGCGAGGAAATGTTTGATCCCTCTTTATAACTCCAGTTATCGGAAAATAGTTTGTCAGTTACGTGAACTAAGAATGGAAGTAATAGGAAATCAATTATTTATTTATACACAAACTTTGAGGGACATTCTCTTCATGTGAATTGACTTTTCCTTCTTTTCTGTCGACTTTCTCATTTGACTTCACAGCTGTTGCTGGAAAAAGCTCTGAATAGTCTTCATCAAGCAGTTCAAGCGGCGAGAAAGGCATTTTCAATCATGTCATTATATAGTTTAAAAAGCGTGCACGCGTTGTTATGACAACATCGTAATCAATATGCTTCACATGATTATGGATGGAATAGAAGAAGCTTTCGCTTAACTAGTTTCCGTGCCTAGTAGCAGTGGATTACCAATACCCTCAGGCAGAAACCTAGGTATAATATTGATAAAAGAGGAAAAAGAAATTGGTAAATCATAGTAAGACACTATCCTTAGTCAAGTTTCCTTTCAAAGTACTCCTTGGTAGTTATTGGGACTAGCTCAGCCGGCAGCGAATTCCGACGTTCGACCACTCTACAGTCTTTTCTGCTGTGTTATGTCTCCAGTTTCTCGTTGGTACACATTAGGTTTGTATTGGGATTTAACTTGAAGTGTTAAAGGGGATGTTCAGAAGTATTTAGGATGCCGTAAGCTATAAGGAAGTCACCTCTAAAACGCCTGTACTCTAGTGGGTAGAGGTTCAGTGATTGGAGGCTCTCTTCATTAGGCCTGAATTTAAGTACCCAAACTGATTTCGTGGCTAGCCGTGGGATACTTTTCAGAGTGTCCTTTTCCTTTTAAAGTTAGGGAAGAAATACTATGTTCCCGTATTCTGAATGGGGACAAGTAAAACTGTCGAAGATTATGTTGTAAGGTTTTCCGTCTAACTGGCCAAAAATGCGCTTCAATTTTACCAGAGCAATGTTTGCTTGAGAGGACTTTTGTCACAGTTAGCCTAAGGCTTCAAATTGCAAGGTACCAACACTCCAAGATAATTTTCAACTTGGAAAACCTTAAGAGTAGTAGCTGTAGTCTGAAAAATGTACCAGGTGGACTACTTTACACGTTGATGTGTTAAAGGTAAATTCGTTGTCACCTGCCAAATTTTGAAGTCGAGTCAGATCCTGCTGAAGTCACAGCAAATTTTTTGGTTGCGCACCTCTCTCCAAAACTCCGGCTGTAGCTCTTCTAGAGTTACTGCCGGTCCCAAGCCCGGGTAAAGGAGGAGGGTTGGGCATGGGGTTAGCGTCCCCATCCCGTAGAAAACTAACTCGCTAAAAAAACGCTTACCAGAAAAAAATAATTCAAACCATTTTAACTCTGCCCTGAAAGTTAGAAGGTCTTCATTTAGAAGAATTATGACGCTTCATGGTGAAAGCCGAGTTCCTTCGGAAGCCACGAGGCCGATGCCTCTTCTAACAACCAGAGCAAAAACTTTTATAGGTACATCGAACGTCCGAACAATGTGGGAGACCGGGAAGACCAGCCAAATAGCAATGGAAATGAGGAGATACAACTTGGCAGTACTGGGAACCAGCGAAACCCATTGGACCCAAGCTGGACAGAAAAGGCTAGCTACGGGAGAGATGCTGCTATACTCCGGCCACGAAGAGGAAAATGCTCCACACACTCAGGGAGTCGCTCTTATGCTGTCCAAAGTAGCACGAAATGCACTTGTAGGATGGGAATCTCACGGATCCAGAATCATCAAAGGATCATTCCAAAGAAAGATCTGAGCAAATGTGAGAATTACAGAGGCATTACACTACTGTCAATACCAGAGAAGGTCTTCAACAGAGTGTTGCTGAACCGGATGAAAGACACGGTAGACGCCCGACTTCGAGATCAACAAGCTGGATTCCGTAGGGATCGATCATGCACAGACCAAATTGCGACACTACGGATCATCGTCGAACAATCAGTTGAGTGGAACTCGTCACTGTACATCAACTTCATTGATTATGAAAAGGCATTCGACAGTGTGGATAGGAGGACGTTATGGAAACTTCTTCGACACTACGGAGTTCCTGAGAAGATTGTCAATATTATCCGGAACTCATACGACGGACTACAGTGCAAAGTAGTGCATGGAGGACAGCTGACAGATGCATTCCAAGTAAGGACCGCAATCAGACAAGGCTGTTTACTCTCTCCCTTCCTTTTTCTTCTGGTGGTCGACTGGATCATGAAGACATCGACATCTGAAGGAAAACACGGAATACAATGGACAGCTCAGAATCAATTAGACGATTTGGACTTCGCAGATGACCTAGCCATCCTATCACGTACACACGAACAGATGCAGATGAAGACAGCCAGTGTAGCAGCAGTCTCTGCATCAGTAGGCCTCAGCATACACAAAGGGAAAACCAAGGTCCTCAAACTCAACACGGAGAACAGCAATCCTGTCACACGTGATTGCGAAACTCTGGAAGATGTAGAATCCTTCACATACCTGGGAAGCATCATCGATGAACAAGGAGGCTCAGGTGCAGACGTAAAGGTGAGGACTGGCAAAGCAAGGGTCGCATTCCTACAGTTGAAGAACATATGGAACTCAAAACAACTGTCTGTAAACCAATATCATAGTCAATCTTCAATACCAACGTCAGTGTAGTTCTACTGTACGGAGCTGAAACTTGGAGAACTACAACAACCGTCATCAAGAAGGTGCAAGTATTTATAAATGGTTGTCTAAGCAAGATACTCATTTTCCATTGGCCGGATACCATCAGCAATAGCCTTCTGTGGGAGAGAACAAACCAGATTCCAGCTGAATCGGAAATTAGGAAAAGACGATGGAAATGGATAGGACATACACTACGCAAATCATCAAACTGCATCACGAGACAAGCCCTAACTTGGAATCCTGAAGAGAAGCGGAAAAGAGGAATGCCTAAGAACACATTACGTCGAGAAATAGAAACAGTTATGAAAAGGATGAATAAAGATTGGGAAGAGCTGGAAACGATTGCCCAGGACAGGTTTGGATGGAGAGTGCTGGTGTTTGACTTATGCTTCTTCACGAGGAGTAACAGGCGTAAGTAACATCTAACCTCTCTCCAAAGTTTCACATCAACAAAAGTAATACGTATGACGGCGCCTGCTGTGGAAGATCGTTTTTATAAGTGAAGAAAAGAAAAGGTCTTAGTAATAAACCCTGGGGGACCCCATTAGGAATTCCGTAGCCCGAGAGAAATCGGAGTTAACCCTGGCATTAATATGTCGATATTTTAGATATGAAGTTAGTCAATCAATTAAATGTGGTTTGATACCTTGTCGATTGAGCTTATTGATGAGACAACGCATTTCTTCCGTACCAACACGAGGTAGCTATAGAACCTGGATACCACAAGAGCATAATTTGCTTCGGGTTTAGCTGCGAAGTATGATCTCGACGTAAGCTGGAAAGTTTTTATACTCCCGCTCGTCTACAATCGACTCTAATCATAGATGTATATCAGTAACACCGCTAATCTAGACAATACTTAGAAAAAACCTAACTAACAGTCTAAAAACGCTTGTTCATACTGATAAAATGTTGCTTATGGGATGAGAACTTCGCTTCCGAGCTAGCGATACTAGGATTTCACAAGTAGGGTGAATGATCATCGCTATCAATACATTAAATTTGGATTTCAGCCCGATTTAGGTTTACTAGTTATATGGTATGGAAAGAGAAGCCCAAAGATTATTCCACTGAATTTTCTATGAAATGAATCTTCACCAGGGAGGGAGTGGACTGTGGTGGTATGTAATTCTCCAAAAAATAGTTCTATAGTTATTTATAACTGAATCGGTTCTGTTTAACACCGTCAGTAAATCAGAGGGTGACCTGACTTAGAGCACTGTTCCTGGTGCACAATCATTTTGCTAGTTTTTTTGGCCTGAAGGAAAAAACGTCAGTCTGCAAATATTTGTTAACATGCTAATTTGATGGTCTCTGTACACGTTCGTGAACTTCGGTAAGTGCTTTCCATACCCTATAGTTTGATTTTAGACATTTCTATTTCAATAAATGTCCAGACAGAAAATAACTATTCATTATCATGAAGGCAATATCGGAATTTAGTCTCCGGTTCTTAATTTATAGAAAATAATTTCTCTTACAGCATATTGACGAAAGAACTATGTAAATATATTTATATGATTAATAGAATATATATCGGTTATATTTCAAATTGAGGCAAACTCACGGTTTGAACTGCCTTTTATTAGACAAACCAATCTTCATGATATGTGTGAGAGAATATTATACAACGCTGATACCAATGTTTAATTTGAACTGTGCGTTTTCTCAGCTTTTATAAAATGTTAACAGCAGTGATTGACAAAAGACAACTTATGTCATTTTTACACAACACCTCTAACTTGTTCACTGTCATGGCACGTACGAAGCAGACTGCCCGTAAGGGTACAGGTGGGAAGGCTCCAAGAAAGTAGTTAGCTACCAAAGCGGCACATAAAAGTGCACCAGCTACTGGTGGTGTTAAGAAACTTAATCGTTATCGTCCTGCAACAGTTGCCCTACGTGAGATTCGTCGTTATCAAAAGTCAACCGAACTACTGATACGCAAACTGCCCTTCCAGCGTTTGGAGATTGCGCAATACTTCAAGACTAACCTTCATTTCCAAAGCTCGGCAGTTTCTGCTCTCCAGGAAGCTAGCGAAGCCTACCTTGTTGGGCTTTTCGAAGACAGTAACTTGTGCGTCATCCATGCTAAATGTGTCAATATTATGCCGAAGGAAAACTTATGTTATCAGAGAGCCCGTAGAAACTTATTCGTTCGTGCAGACTCAAATGTTTTGGAAATACTTGATAGTTCTACCCAGAATGCGAAGTCTGGTGCATAGATTCTCAAGATGCTATGCTGATTTTTTATTATTTTATAGAGAGAAAATACCACCGAAAAGTTAAATGTGGTCTGTTAAATCATATAAACAATGCAAATTGAAGTCACTTCCAGACCTCAACGTGGCTTATTTGCATGAGTGCGTACCGTCATTTGGTTTGATGGCGTTTATAAGCGAATAAAAAATAACTACTTTATTTTTATTCCCTTCCATATAATTTACGCTGATCGGTTAGGCCATTCGATCTTAAAGCACGGCACGTTTTACTCGCCAGCTGACTGCTAACTTTACTATCGGGTCTTTAGCGCCTTTTTTTGTAAGAATAGAACCCAGTTTGACAGTTAAAATCCATAGTATAATTGAACATACTTTCGC